AGGCCACGGGCCCTCGGGTTACATCCAAACAAGCCCACTGGTCTAAGTAAGCCAATCAAGAGCCTTCCATACCAAGAACAACATAAAGCTTTTTGGGGTGAAATTGACTAGCGGGCTAAGAGAGACTCAGTGCTGAGCCACTATTACTTGGAGCAGCAGTCCTGAGGCAAAACAAATGCAAGACGCTTGTAAAACCAGCCTCCACGAAGGAGGGATTGCTGGAGTTGAGCAGACCCCGCAGGCACTCGGGGAAATCCCTGCTGATACCAGATTCCTCCCCGGAAGCGTCTGCAGAAACTCCCTCCACCCAGAAGGCCTGCTGCAGGGGAGTTCAGCTTTGTCTGGCCCGACCCAGCTGTTTTGTGTACGTGACCTCGTGGGCTGCAGCACGGCCCACACCTGCTCCGGGGCTCCTGGAGTTGTGTGCGCAGCAGATGCTGCCCAGGACTCAGATGAGCTCCGGGAACTGAGAGGGAAGCAGAGCTGTCACCCCACCCAGCGCCCACCTCTGGCTGGGCTGCCCTCAGTGGCTATTCAACCTTCCCCAAGGACCCGGGCTGACAGATCTGCATTTAAAAAGAAAAGTTCAGGAAGAGGAGTTCCTGCGCAGGCCCAGGAAAGGCCCCTCTGTCATGCCTGGGACGTGGTGCATCCCCATTTCTGAGGCTGAAACCTCACGACTTTACACACAAGGGGTGGGTGCCAGATTTCAGAGGACTGAGCGATAGCCAGGAACCTGCAAAGCTCCCTTCTAACCCTGATGCCTCTTTTCTCGGACGAAATATTGGGCGTATGGAGAACTGATCTCGTTACCAGATGGGGGCCTGGTCCTGAGCGAGCAGGTCTGCTTAAGGCTGGCCAGTGGTGTGTGGGTTCTTGACTTTGTGCAGGGAAGACTTCACAACAGGAGTCCAGGTGACTGTGAGGATGTGTTTATTGAAGCTGGGGACAGTGACACTACGATGGGCCTAGAGTAGAAGAAGTACGGAGAGAGCCTAGGCTGGGCTGCCTTAGTCCTGGGAGGTCAGAGAAAAGGGGGAGGGCCTTGGGGACAGGTTCAGGAGGTGAGCCTGGGACAAACTGACAACTGTCCATTTTTCCCCTGGTTGCAAGTCTCCTGGGGCCCCTTAGAGTGTGGATGTGTGCCTGTGGGGGAAGGGAATAGTGTGGGTGCATGCACTGGGTCCTTTTTCTTGAGGCTTTTTTCTCCCTCTTACAGGCGGGAATTTTAGGGGAGGTCTCGGGAGGTTTCAGCAGAATATTCGTCAGTTTTCCAGGTGGGCCTTTTCAGGGTCATGGCCTCCACTGATTGGTCAGTGACAGGGCAGGGGTCATCAGTCACAGCAGCTGGTCCCAGCATCACCCATCTGGGCCTGGAGCTGAAACATCACCCAGCCGAGGCCCAGATGTTATCTCCAGGGAGGCAAGCTTCTGTATCTGGCTACGGGTTGCTCGGTCAGTTTGTTCAACTGTTTCCCTATTCCAGTTATCCTGGCTTACTGGCCTGCCTCATTGTCAAGGACACCTTGACACTCCGGGCTACCACATCAGAGGGACACACGCTGCCCCAGCCTCTCAGGGGCTCGGCAGCCTCGTTGCTCCCTCCTGCTTCCCCACCGGCCTGGCCTGCTGGCCTTTCTCCGGATCTTCCCTCTGTCCACACTCCTCCCCACTCAGAGCTCCAGGCTAAGGCACCTCCTGTTTGTTGTACCCCGTATTCCACTCCATGGTTTCAGGGGCCTCACAAAGTTAAAGGGCCCAAAACAGAACTCTTGAGTTCCCTTCTCTCCAACCCGTTTCATCCTTCCTCATCTCAGGAAGGCGTCACCATCTAGCACCAAAGTTCTAAAGCCAGGAACTTGTGAACCAAAAAGGGACGGTGCAATACACCTGGCCAGCTCGGGGGCCACATGGCGGGCCTGGCAAGCTCAGCAACCAAAACTAACCACACTTGGTGGTCTGATCACAAACGACTCACCGGGCAGGTCTAGGGCATAGTCACGGCACATGCCTGTAGCTTCCTTAGCAAAAAACCATTCTCCACTTTAAGGAGCGCTGTCCTTAAGACAACACACCTTTGAAATGTCAGTCATTTTCTTTTGGGGCTGCTCTCAGCACTGGGGTGGGAGGCCACAGAACCTGCTACTGTTGTCTTGCTGACTGCACGCCACCTCTAGGGTAATTACTCATTGTCCTGTACCAGCAGTGTAGAAATATGTGCCTCTTCATGTTACTTTTTATCTAATTGCAGAGATTTCCCCAGCTTTGCTTTCTCCCACCTCCTTCATCTGCCACCAGTGAATGAATTTCATGCACCTTCCTTACATTTCCTCCTTTGATTTTAAACACATAAAAGAAACTACAAAACTGCCACTCTCGGGAGCATTTTCCGAATCCAGTGAGATTTTGCTTCCTGGCAATTGTCTCAAATGTACTCATAAACATTCTCTACAGATTTGGACGTTTCTTCAATCAACAAACTGAATGCACCTTTGATGATGTCCCTCCCTCTCCTCCCCAGGCGCCCACCTACAAAGGCTCCCCTTCGGTGACCCTGCACGGCCGGCCCAGTGTCTCCACTCCTGGCCTCTCCCTCACTCCATTTCCCACAAGGCGGCAAATAGGGCCTCCTAAAAAAATAAATCACTCTATTCAACACTTATTCAAAAAATACTTTTAAGGACTTTGAAACATTTCCAGGCCTTGGAGAAACAGCTCTCCACAAAATATACAACTCCCTTCTCCCAAAAGCCACTCTGCCCCAACAAAGTGTGCATTTGGGGGGAGGCCAGCAAACATTCTATTAGACAGCAGTAGGGACCGTCAGGAAGACAGAGCAGGTAGGGAGGGCAGGGAGGCTGGACGCAAGTGAGCCTCGATTGTCACAGATAACTGGAGGCTGGTTTGAGGGGTGCAGGGCCCACTGAGTCCGAGGACTGGTCAGTCAGTCATCCAGGTCATGCTGGGAGGTGGGCCCTTGGTGGTTCTGGGCAGGACTGAGGTTAACAGGATCACTACAGTGGCATGTGAGAAAGGACAGGAGGGCCGAGCACAAAAGCCACGGTAACTGCATTGGTCCAGAGGAGGCAGGTCCGTGTCCCGGAGAAGGACATACATGAGGTGTAAGTCTGAGATGTTGACTAAATTCGGGGAGCCATGTCAGGTGGGCAGTCAGATACACAAGCTAGGAGTCTGAGGGGCTGCCTGGGTGGGGACATCCCCAGCAGCCACAGTGGGCAGGCCGGTGGCTGCCTCCCCTTCCCTAACAGTCCCAGCCAGTCTGGGGCCCTGCCCTCCCTGGCCCAACCCCAGACCTCAATGGTCTGAAACCCGTCACTGGTTCAATAGACGGAGGTTCCCCACTCTGACCAATGGGATGTGAAACTGCCGGTTTGACATAATTCCTAAATGCCACACAGAATCTCCCTTTCCTCCCCTGGATATTAACATGGCTCTGGCAACATCCTGCTCCCTGGCGACAAAGGTGACACTGAGGTGGCAGGACAGAGATGGAGAGGACACAGGTCTTTGGGACATCTTGAGCTTCCTATTCACTCAACGACATTTGTCAGTGCTGAGCCCGATGGGCCTGGATTTCAGGTGCTGTGGAATCAATCACCTGCAGGAGACTGCCCAGTAAGAAGGAGCAGATGCAGACAACACACACCTGCCTGCGGGCTCCGAGATGCACAAGGTGATGAGCTGTGCGTGACCCCAATCCCTGGCCCCCCAAAGAGGCCCAGACCAACCAACACACACATCTGTGAGCAAGTGCGGTCCAGCTGAGCCTTCATCAGCCTAATCCCCATGTATGACTGCCATTTTAGGCCACTGAGTTTTGGGTGGTTATACAGAAATACCAGTTAATACATTACTCTATTTCTCCCCAAATTTCCTAGGCCAGTGCTGCACAGAGAATACATACTCAATAAATATTTCATTAATTTGACAAATATTTATTGAGCATCTACTACATCATCACATTGTACAAAGAAAAGGGGATATCATGGTGATCCAGATGGACTTAATTCCCGCCTTCACGGAGCACGTTTAGTTATCATTGTGACGAGTTTTACCAAGGAAATTCTTAGAAACACAGAACGACGACAGGTGAATGGCAATCTGTGGTGTCAGCCAGGAAACAAGTGCAGATGGAGGAGAACGAGAGCCACATAAAGACGCACGCGCATGTGGGCACTGTGTGGCGAGGGTGGCCCTGCACACCGGGGGGAGGGAAGAAACTCATCAGTGGTGCAGGAAAAACGTCCCATGTGATGGAGAAGGTTGGGTTTTTACCTCAGACCATAGACACACACATACAGATGGATGAACTCCAGATGGACTGAAGACACACACACACAGTGTGACTCTGGAGCAGGGAAAGACTTCATAAACAACGCTGAGATGCTTGAGCCTAAAGACTGATAAATTTTACATGATAGTTAAAAACTTTAAGATAGGAAATACTCTGAACAAAGTTAAGACAACTGAGGGGGTGGCGGGACTGAGCACAAAGGAGAAAAGAGGCACGGGCGTGGGCAATAGTGTGGTGATTCCAAGGGGGTGTACGGGGACTACATGGTAACGCAAAAATGGAAAAGAAGTTAAGACAACTGGTAGAGATTTAAGTATCTGTAACACATATAACAGCTAATAGCCAGAACTGATAAAGAATACCAGTCGATAAGAAAAAAGCCTAATAAAAAAATAAAAAAGGATATGAATAGGCAATTCATCAAAGAAAATTCTTCACTTAACATCTAATTGGGCCGCCTGTCTACTAAATTAATAGTAGTTCCATACTAAGAAGTTCCATACACCTTCAGCCTTTTGCTAGTGTTGGCATCTCCACTGTATAAAGACAGACTGCTTTGTTTTTGAGGCTCTCTGATGGTCTGAAGACCACATGACCCCAGCATCGGCCTTGAGAGACTTCACGGAGACATCTCAAGAGACATGGCCCTTTCACACAATAAACAAAAGATCCTGACACAGGGCTATTTACTTTTGTGGTAAATCTTGGGTTTAATGAACAGTTTCCTCATGAATATTTGATTTTAATGGTCGGTCTGAATTATCTTAAAACATTAAGCCAACTGGAGAGAACCCTCATGCTACAGATAATTCACACGTGTGCTAAGAAGTCTTTAATAATCCAAACACAAGTTAGAGGAAATGCGTATTTCATTCTCATGTACACTGATGGGAATACACAAAAAATTATTTTTAAAAAGGTACATTCTTAAAGAATATTTTAATTTAAAAAAATCAAAAGAAAAATTGAACAGTGCCTAAATCTTTATTTTTCATAACCTACAATTTTTCCAAATTAGACAGTTTTACACTGAATGACACAAAAGGAAACTTAAATTACCAATAGTTACACATAAGCTTGATTCCAGTCTTAATGAAAAGAATAGAACAAAAACAAAAACCCTCAAGAAAGCTTCCACATTACACTCCTGGTTTGTGAACTGGCAGCTCTTGGCTCCCCTTCAGTCTCCGATTGTCTGCTGCTTTCTGCGTAACCCCTACCCACAGCTCACACCCTCCTCGTCTGCTGACACGGGGAGAAACGGAACCTGCTGTGCTCCTGACTACAGCTAGTGACAGCCGCTGGTGAGACTACAGGGGGGCCTGATGCGAAACATCGTGACGCTAACTCTTCAAGAAGCAACTACAATACTTGAAATTCATGTCTGGAGAAATGGGGCAGGATTCTTTTATTTCCAAAGTATCATCACACAATTGTACAAGTGATTGCTGTATCTCTGATTCTATACCTCAAAATACTGCTGGGGGGAAAAAAGTTACATTTTTAAAAATGTACAAAAGCTATATACTACTAGGCGTACGTGACAGCTGTCACCTGCACCACGGCTTCCAGTTGTGCCAACTCCCATTCTTTTCTGAGTGGAAAATCTCAAGAGTAGTAGCAGAAAGGTGGTTTTTTTGGACATTATACAGATATTTGGCATTATCACCTTTGCTTAATTAAAAAGAATGCTATAAAAATTCACCACAGCAATGTTTCAATTCTGGATGCCACGTGCCATGGCTATGGGAGTGGTCACTGCGGCACACGCCTCACCACACCCGCTGCCTGGCCTGCTGCGCTCATGGCGGCCTCCTCCACCCTGCAGGCAGCCGCTGAGCTCCGCACTCACCAGCTACAGGGGAGCTTCAGCAGGCACCCCCTCAGGGAAAAAAAGGCTTTTTTGTTATGGGGCTTGAGGATGACCATGACTACCTCTTCCAGCAATGACCACAACACTAAGGAATTCCTAGGTTTGGAGCTTGCCTTTTCAACTCTCTTCGGGACTCATTAGTTGGGCACTTATTTCTAATTTTTTTCATTGGCTATCTGACAACCACAAAGAAATAATTCCCATGTTCCCTTTACAGGCATTTTCAAAATATTAGCACTGTGGTGTACTTCTCAGTGTGTAAAGGATGCTGGCTGCTCGGAGGAGGGCCCCTCCCTCCGGCAAGGTAAATCATGCCCGGCTATTTGTGATTTTCAGTAGATTATTTTTCACTTCCCTTGAAGATACTGCCAGTTTCTGCTTTCTACATTACACTTCAAAAACCCTTTCACACCAGCTATGATTAGCACATATTTACATACTTTTAGGAAGAGCATGGACACATCCAAAGGCTTTCACGAGACTGTCCACTTCCCTTTGCAGTAGCAAAGAGGCAGAATCAGCTCAACACATCAGTTTAAGAGGGGAAAAAAACTTCAACAAATTAAAATAATATTCAAACCACAACATTTAGTTTATCTACATCCAGCTCAATAGCAACATTTATAATATATCAATAATTTTTATCAGATTTTTCTCTTAAGGGTACCCTTTTAATATGTTCTGATTATTTACAACTGTACAAGCAAAGCACACACGCCCAAGTGCACATATTTAATACAGTATCGACTATTTGCATTTACAGGATTTTTAAACAATCTGAAAAAAGAGCGACTGTGTAAGATCTCCAAGGTATATTACACACACGACGGCTAGTCCTCGTACTCCAGTACGCTTACTCAGTAAAACTAGCGCCAGTAGATCCCACATCACTGAGTAACTGCAATCCACTCATGCCAACCCAGGGGCCGGTCTCCAGGAACTCTACGCTGTCTTATACAAAAGTTAAGGCAAAGTCATTTTCAAGTTTAAATAAAATTCAAGTCTTTAAATATTGGATGGAAATAATTTTTTTAAAAAAACCCTCAGTCTTGTTAAATAACATTTTGTGGAATAAACTTGTATGGTTACATTTAGCAGGAAATACTCTTATTTTAATGTCTGCTGCTTAGAATACTTAAAGAAAAATTTAGGCATTTTAAAAGAAAATAATTTATATTTAACTTTATTATAAACTGCTAGCTTTAGTGCATGCGGGTTCAGAGTGCAGCACTTTCAGAAGGGAATCAGTGAGACCCTCATCTTGGAGGTAAAGAGAGCGAGAATTCTCATCCTCCATCCCACAGGGCACTGCAAACACATTCTCCCACAACTAAGTAACGTTCGGTCCATGTGCCGTTGGGGAGGTACAAGGAGGCACCCACAGAAGCCAACTAATGTGAGGGGGACTTGGCCTCCCACCAGCTCATGGGAACAAAAACACTACCAGGGTACAATGTCATGGTAACATGTCAGTGGGCAACAAAGTTTATGTTTTCTTTAAGTTCTATTCACAATGTGCTTTGAATTTATCTTACATAATAGCCACTGAGACTGGAGTGAGGAGCTGGTTACTCGCTTCGCAGTGCATCAAAACTCAAGGTTTTAGGCTCTTGGGGGCTCTTTGCAGGTTCATTTTGCCCAGTAGATCAAAACGGACTGCACTTTTTACAAAAAGCTAGGATCTAAATGAGTGCTTGGCCCTGGCCAGTGTGTGGCACCATCTGACCCATCTCTCTTCCAGGCTACACCCACAGCATCGCCTTGTGCCCCCAACCACTGTCTTCAGCTTTGCCCGTCAGTCTGATATCCTTAGCAATATGCACTTGCTAACCAGTTATTTTAAAAAATGAAGTAGCACAGTTCCACTTAATTTAGAAAAACTCACTATTTATAGCTTGCATTCATAGCCACATGGAGGCTTAATAAAAAATATCAATTTGTTAGGATAAATGCATTTCCTATCCTGAAAAAAATCAGACTTATGCATCACCTCCAGTTAAGCACCAACCTAAAATAAGGTTTATATTAATTAAATCCTGAAAAATAGATTTTTTTTTTCAAGAGGGGGGAAAATCCGACTCATAGAAGAAAAATAACTTGCAGGCATCTCACGGGCCTTGTCTACACTGCAAGCTCCTAACCAGTGGCTCATTCTTGGTACCGAGTGCGACAGTGCTTAGTTGTGGCGACCTCAGCTCCTCACAGCCCTCCCTGACCCCGGCGCTCACTGAGGGGACCTGGGAGGGGTACTCTGTTCTCTGTGTGGACGCTTCCCTGTGGCGGGAGGTGAGGGCCTGCGGCCCAGCGGCCTCCTCTGGTCCCTGGGTGGTCCTGGGTTGGACTTGGGGGCAGAGGGCTCTTTCTCTGTGAGCTTCTTTTCTTCCTTCCCACAACCAACAGTGTTTGGCTTTTGTTCTTTTGGGGGTGGCAACGGGGAGGACGAAGGCTCTCTACTCGTCCTCTGGCAAATCTCGGCGTAGCTGGGTTTCCGCAGTTCCTGGGAAAAGACACAATTCTGGGATTACATGCACAGCATGAGGTCTGGAGGGGCAACAGATGAAAATACTGCCCTCTTAAGGTAAAGAACTTTTCAACTGTAGCCAAATTTCCACATTCAAAAGTATATTTTTAAAGACTCCATACATTTCCACAATGCAGTTTCCCCTGTGGCACAACTTTTCCTCTAAGAAAGTCTGGATATATCTTGTAAAAATGGGTAAAACTAGAAAAGGTATTGGTGTGTAAAGTGTTGAATGAAATCTTTGCAACTTGAAGCATTCTTCAGCCACATGAGGCCCAAAAGGAGGCCTAAGAAAACCGGGTACCCCAAGAAGACAGGCACCAGCTTTCTCTGACCTCACTTCCTCCAAATATACTGCCATGCAGCCCAGTGCAGCCCAGCTTACAAGTGAACTTCAAAATTGTCTTTAAAAACTGTGTACTCGTCTCTAACTACAGAGGGCTCTGGTATGGGTTCAGGAAAGAAACATAGTTAAAACAACTGTGAAAATAGCAGGGTTTTCAGGTAAGTGGAAACATTAGGGCTAAGTGACATGAGAACAGTTAAAACTATCTGACTTTTATCATCATTTGTTAACTTAAAAATAATTTTAACCTAAAAAAATGTTTTTCTTTTAAGAGTCAACCTAGTGGACAGTAAGGGTTTAACTCCTCTATGTGAATGCCACAAACTCACCCAAGATCAAACCAAGGACAACACAAACCAGAACAGAAGAGGTGGGCTCCTTCTTGAGGGAAGGGAACAAGGGGTACAGAGGGCACACTGTCCCCTACAGTCTACGGAGCCAGTCGACCGTGGTCACAGTGCTGTCGAGGAACAGCCGCGCTCAGAGGAGCAGGTGCCCCTATGGGAAGCAGGAGCTGGAGTCTTGTGACTACTCAAAAGGACCACTTCACTCAGCTGACACTGACACAGAGAGCCCATGGCAGTGGGGACAAGAATAAAGTTGGCTGAAATCGTCAGCACATACCCAAGGTATCCTGCACAGAAAGCACACACCACACACAGCAGTAAAAGCCTATCAGATTGGACTGTACCAACAGTGAGCTGATTTGAGGAGGAGGAGCTGTTTTCCTCCCACCGCGTGCCCCTGGAACCTACCGTGGTGGTGCCGTTCACCTGCACCGATTTACTGGCGGTAGTGGAAGTAAGTCTGTCTGCACTCGGGGCTTCCCTCGGCTTCTCCGCCACCTTGGGGTCCCTGTGAAAAGGCCACCCAACAGGTGAGTCCCACATGACAACATTCCCGGTGGACTGGGAGGAGGCAGCAAGATAGTACTTACTCGGGCAGGTGGGCAGGGGAAGGGGTGCGCTCGTGGGCCATGGACAGGGTGCAGGGGGCTGGACCTGGGGGCTCTCTGGGGGTCGCTGCGGGAAGAGTGCTCGTGCCTGCATCCGCGCTGTGACTCTGAAAACCGTTGGAGTCAGAGTTTACAGTCGGGTAGAGAAGCATGGATCACATCTCTTATAATAATCTACAACACACCAACAGGGGTACCGGCCCGACTGACTCACATGGCTGCCCGCCCTCCCCACAGGGCACTGGCTAGGTGCTGTCACGCAGAGTGCGCAGAATCAGAAAGTGAAACATAGCCCAAGCCTGTCCTCCTAACAACTCACTCATAGTCTCACGGCCCCCTGCTGGGTTTCCACTATATTATCTGCAAGCTTGTTCTCCCAAATAAACAAATATCAAAAATACCTATTCATCTCCGACAATCCTGTAGCCTAGCATAGCCTGGTACATAACAAATGCAGATATCTGTCAAATGTGGAATTCCTAGTACAATTAAATAAAACCAACAAAACCCAAAAATGCCAACACTTCCACACCAATGTAATTTAGAGTGTCCTGAGGTGAGTGGCAGGTGCTGACAAGCTGTCCCCACCTGCATTCACAAACAACCCCAGGGGCAGTGATGTGTTACCTCTCCCAATTTAACACAGGAAGAAACTGAACTCAAAACTTTTAAGTCAATCATTCACTGCTGTGAGTGAAAGACCTGACATTGATGTTCTTACTCCAGCTATTGACCACCCTTCCCCGCCTCATGCAGTGACAGCTCATACACGCACCGATCTTCTTCATGATGTACAATTAACAAGAAAGGCAGGGGAGTAAATAAGTAATTGAAAGTGAGATTAAGTGTCAAAAGACAACATTTTCTTAAAACTTAACTTTTCAAAGCAGACAAAAGGTTCAGAAGCAAACTGGACAGAGAAGTGCTGAGGGAGACGAATGGAACAGCACCATCTACACCCCTATGATCCCAGCAGGGTGGCCAGAGACGTGCAGCCTCCCTACGAATCATCTTTTACAGCTTCGTGCTCAAGGTTGGTGGAAATGTGGGAAGGGAAAATGCCTCCATTCTGTAAAAGCTCAGTTACCCGGGATCTGTTCGATCCTGACATGCTAGAATGTGAGGACTCAGGACCTGACCAGCACCTTAAATCTCTGAAGCCTTTCCTAAAACCTCCCACCAGCTCCAAAACTTGAATGTCACTGAGACAGAAAAAGTTACTGTAGTGCAACCTCAAGAAGGAGGGACACAGGCTCTCACCTGGCCATGGAATCAGGCTCTGACTTTTTAACAGAAGCAATTGTTTCTTCCAGAGAAATTTTACATAACTCAAAATGTAAGACACAGTATTGATATTTTTGAAGTGGGTGAAGGCCAGCTTGCTCTGCCCACCACCCGTGGGGAGTAAAGCCGGTCTGTAAACTAGAATTCACAATTTTTAAGATGTACTTTGCTTTTTTATGAGACACTTATAACTTAGAAATTACTGTTTAAGAGTTTAGAATAATGCAGAAGACATTCCAAGTTTAATATGATTGTTATTATAACCTTGAAGGTTAAAAACAGGAACAGTAACTACGTACCAGCATGAAAAGAACTGAAAACTGGTTATAAATCCCATGTAAGTCGTGACTTGATGACTGAGGGGCTGCATGGTGGCCCTAGTGACAACCTGGATGTAGCCTTTCTTCACCCAAAAGCCAAAGAGTTCTGATTCCTGACATTTGAGGGTGGTAGGGAATAGATTCCCTTTGGAAAAAGACATGGTGGGAGGAAGGGAGAGTGGATTCCTGACTGGTGTGGCTCATGGAGTTGGGTGTCATCCTGTGAACTGAAAGGCCAGGGCACACGTGTGGGTTGTGGGCCAGGTTCCTGGTTGGGGGCATGCGGGAGACAACTGATCCATGCTTCTCTCACATCGGTAAGTTTCTCTCCCTCATCTCTCTCTAAAAATAAATAAAATCTCGCCCTGGCTGGTGTGGCTCAGTGGATTGAGCACCAACCTGCACATCAAAGGTCACTGGTTTGAGTATCAGTCAGGGTACATGCCTGGGTTGTGGGCCAGGTCCCCAGTAGAGCGTGCGCAAGAGGCAACCACACAGTGATGTTTCTCTCCCTCTCTTTCTCCCTCCCTTCCCCTCTGTGTAAAAATAAATAAATAAAATCTCTCTAAAAAAAGAAAGGAAGGAAGGAAGAGAGAGAAAGACACAGGGGGATTACACCTGGTAGCAGCACAATTCTCTCTGTACCTTGTTAACTTACAGCAGGCCCAGAAGGAGTGTTGGAAGTGAATCTCCCATGACTTCAGTAGCTTAATCTGATCTCTAGTATTGCAATCACACGGAGGAGTGAAAGCAGCTAGTCTGGAGCCTACAGAGCTCACCAAAAGCCACTAGAATTAAAGTTATTCTGGGCTTCTTCTTATCCACATAGTTCACTAAAAATTATATTACTTCTGGTATAATTCAGGTTTTTGTTTTATTCTTCTGACTTGGAAAGTAAAGGCAGGTCCTGAATATCAACAACAAAAATGTAATCTGAATTTCTGGATGAGCGAAAGCATCTGTACTATATACCATGACACAGGTTTCTCCCTTGATTTTGGCAGACTGGGAACTAAAAGGCTTCAGTCCTGGATTCAACTTTGACCTACCACTGAAAATCTGTATGGCCTCTGCCAATCATTTACCCTCCGAATCTACATGAAAATGAGCTCAGCCAAGTGCGTGGCAGGAAATCAGTGCACAGTAAATGTTAGCAACCACTGGGCTTGTGACATGTATCTTACCCTTTCTTTTGATCCTAATAACAAGCTAGACAGCCTGTTTTCAAACAAGTCCTCAGTCTTCAAGTGGCCTGCCGCTCCAGGCAGCGGGGGGAAGTTAGACAGCCCCAATTCGAAGTTCGGGGATGGAGGTTTTGGTGGCGTTGGAGATTGAGTCTGACTCCTCTGAAAGAGAACAACGCCACAAAGTCGCACAAGTGTAGATGGTACAGTGCTAAGAAACACAGCAAAAAAGGCAATAATCCTTTCTCTAATCTTTTGATTTCTGTATCTGTCTGAAAAAAACAAAGAGATAATCGACCATAACAACACTTTGTCACCTAATCAAAGGTGGCTTAATAGGCAACTTCCCCTCTGAGAGCAGAGCTGTAAAGCTGAGCCCTCAAGGCTGCTACTGGGCATGACTGCACATGCTGTGCGGAGCTGCTTCCCTATGACTAAGACCCTCTGGTTCCTGGTACAGTCAGCTGACACAGACTGGGCAGGACATGGGTAGGCAGCAAAGTGATAGCTATGAACAAAGAAGACACTGTAGAACAACTAGACCCCACTGTCGAAATTCAGAGTAGCCTGGGTCTAGACATTAACCTATTCATCTCCAGACAAGTTTTATGTTATTATAAAATAGTGTGTAATCCAAGTCATATAGGAGATAGTAAAAGAAAAAACAAAAGGCTACTCTTTCAACTCTCTACAACATAAGGAAGAAATTTTACAGATTACCTACCAAGGAGAGGGGAGTAAAACAATTTAACAAAAAAAGTGGGGAGCTTCCGTTATCTGAAAACTAAGTTAGGGAAACACTTTGTATTTTTAAATCACTATGTAAAAACGTGGTATTAGATATTATCACATTCCTGACTTTAAGCAAGTAAATTCAGCAGAATAATATCCAAGTGTAAATCATAAGTCCAAGATCTCAGGAGAAAGCCAGTGATATAATTTTATTGAAAAACTCTAATCAATCTGTTTTAATATGGTAGCTATCATTGTGTAGGTGTCCGGCTCCTTGGCTGAAGGATACAAGGAACAGAAAGGGAGACGGGTCTCTATCTAGGTTTATTTCTGCTAAATGTTGGCCACTTTGAGTGGACACAATGCTCTCTTGGGGCTCATTTAACTTGGAAGGGCTGATACTTCCCAGAAACTTATACCAATAGAAAGACCATGCCCTCCAGAAGTAGAATCTAGAGAAAATCTGTTAGAACTCAAGTGAGAGCAGGGGGAAGACGACATGGACCCGAGATGGCAGCAATTCCACACCGCTCTGGGCAGCCTGCCAGCCCCTCTTCTTCCTTACAGGGTAGGCGCTAAGTCGAGCCTCACTCTGCTCAGCCACAAGCCTTCGAAACAAAGCTTACACTTACTAACTGCAGCCATGGTAGTCTCTGTAACTCAGTGAACCCAGAGGTTATGCATAGGCATCATGAACTCAAAGCAATTTTCAGTTTCTATTTTAGACATCTATATATTTTCAGAAGATAAGTAATTCTAAGGAGAGAGACTTCACAAAAACTTACTCTAGATTTTTAGGGACAAAATAGGCAAGTAATAACTGTTGACACATGGGAGTTACAAAATGACAGCCCTTACAGATGAAGTCTGATCTTGAAGGCAGGGTTTAACGTTTCTGAGAAACTGATGGGCTTTAGGTGAGGTATGAATGCTACACCGGTCCTATGGGCTTGGTTGGGCCAATGCTCACATGCTTTGATGTCTCTAGGTTTCTTTATTTTTCCCCCATTTAAAAATTATATTTTATGGCTTAAGCTAAGCTATAATAGTTATCCGAATTTTCCCCTTGGCCCCCCCTCCATCCAGCAACACACACTCCCTCAGGCACTCTCCCCACCACTATTCATGTCCATGGGACATGAGTATAAGTTCTTTGGCTATTCCATTTCCTATACTGTACTTTATATATATCCCCATGGATATTCTGTAACTACCTATTTGTACTTCTTTTAAAATTTTTTTCCTAAAATATATTTTACTGATTATGCTATTACACTTGTCCCATTTTTTTGTCCCCTTTATTCCCCTCCACCCTATACCCACCCCCAACTTAGTTCATGTCCATGGGTCACACATGTCAGTTCTTTGGTTTCTCTATCTCCCATACCATTCTTAACCTCCCCCTGTCAATTTTGTAACTACCATCTATGCTTCTTATTCCCTGTACCTTTACCCCCATTCCTCCTCCCCACTGGTAACCCTCCATTTAATCTCCATTTCTGTGAATCTGTTCCTGTTCTGGTTGTTTGCTTACTTCATTTTTCTTTTTTTAGGTTCAGTTGTTGATAATTGTGAGTTTGTTGTTAATTTACTGTTCACAGTTTTGATCTTATTTTTCTTAGATAAGTCCCTTTAACATTTTATGTAGTAAGGGCTTGGTGGTGATGAATTCCTCTAACTTGACCTTATCTGGGAAGCAGTTTGTCTGCCTTTCCATTCTAAATGATGGCTTTGCTGGATAGAGCAATCTTGGATGTAGGTCCTAGCCTTTCATGACTTGGAATACTTCTTGCCAGCCCCTCAAATCCTGTAAGATTTCTGTTGAGAAATCAGCTTAGAGTCTTATGGGAACTCCTTTGCAGGTAACTGTCTCTTTATCTCTTGCTGCTTTGAAGATTCTCTCCTTCTCTTTAATCTTGGGTAATGGAATTATGATGTGTCTTAGTGTGTACTTCCTTGGATCCAACTTCTTTGGGACATGCTGAGCTTCCTGGACTTCCTGGATATCTATTTCCTTTGCCAGATTGTGGAAATTCCTTTATTATGTTTTCAAGAAGTTTTCAATTTCTTGCTCTTCCTCTTTTCCTCTGGTACCCCTATAATTCAGATGTTGGAATGTTTAAAGATGTCCTGGAGGTCCCTAAGCCTCTCCTCATTTTTTTTTTTTAATTCTTGTTTCTTCACTCTGTTTCGGCTGAATGTTTATTTCTTCCTTCTGGTCCAAACTGTTGATTTGAGTCCCGATTTCCTTCCTGTCACTGTTGGTTCTCTGCACATTTTCCTTTATTTCACTTTTCATAGCCTTCACTTTTTCCTCTATTTTGCTACCATATTCAACTAGTTCTGTGAGGATCCTGATTACCAGTGTTTTGAACTGTGCATCTGATGGGTTGGCTATCTCTTCATCGCTTAGTTGTATTTTTTCTGGAGCTTTGATCTGTTCTTTCATTTGGGCCATTTTTTTTTTGTCTCGGCACACCTGTTATGTAGCAAGGGGCAGAGCCTTAGGTATTTCCCAGGGCAGGGCACCCACATCGCTGTGTTGTAGTGCTGAGTGTGGGGGAGGGGTCCAAGAGGGATAATGCCACTTGCTCAGCTCTCCACTGGCTTTCAGTCACTTCCCATGCTACCCACAAGCAAATTGGACCCTTCTGGTGCTAATTCCCAGGTGGGTGGGTTTGTGTGCCTTCTAGGACCCTGTGGGTCTCTCCAACAAACTCTCCTGCAAGGCTAGGAGTTTTTCCCGCTGCCGCAAGCCCCAGTTTTTTCAGTCAGAGGTTTGAGGCTTTAGTTTCCTGTGCTGAAATCCTGAGTTGTGCAGTCTGTCTCACTCTCCATTTGTTCCTCCCAGTTTATCTGCACAAAAATGTGGGACCACCCAGTCCTCCAGCTGCCACCTTGCCTGGAGTCCCCTCTGCCCTAGCTGTCCATCTCTGCCCCTCTTATCAGTCTGGATGAATATTTCTTCTTTACCTCCTTGGGTGTCACACTTCCATACAGTTTGATTTTCTGGCAGTTCTGTTTTTTTGTTTTTAAATTTGTTGTTGTCCTTCTTTTGGTTGTGTGAGGAGGCAAAGTATATCTACCTACACGTCCATCTTGGCCAGAAGTCTGATGACTCTGGGTTTCTGAAGTCACCAGAATGTCCCAGTACGACAATGGTATACTCTCTGTAAGAACTGTGTCATGTGCCTGGGTTTCTGAATGGTTCCCATGTATTAACACGTGAATCACGTACATGAAACAAAATGAAACAAACATGGCTATGAGAGAAAATTTCACCTCTTTAGGTGATGGAGTGAGTGAGCAATGGGAGTAACTCATGTCAGATAACTAGGCTCTGAAGAGATTCAGATGGTAGTCTTGTTAGTCCAACCATCACAGCAATTATTAATTCCAACTGAAATCAGCCGATATAAATTGCCTTACCAAGGGGTTCACCAAAAACTAGACTAAACTGGCCAATAACACAGAATTATGGGTGTTACATACAATTGGCACTTGATAAGTTCCAGACAAAGAAAATATGTTCTCTGTAATGGGAAAATGCATACTCAATAGCTCAGGTGGCTGGACCACAAATTTTCTTGTCCTTGCAAGTGTGGAATTAATTTTTATACCTGCAAGTCCAGTAAACATCCTTCCTTCCTTCATATCTTTCCATGTACTGACAGGATGTTCTCCACCACTTTCTGTGGAAATGCACCTTATCAGCACCCATCGAAGCTCAGCCAAGTACTGGCTGAACTGCACTGGCATCACCCAAGAAGATGGGACCCTACCTCATGTGCTTACCACTCACATAAATCTACCACCACAAGTTACAGCAGAGGCAACAATGCTTCCTGCACAGTATGCACAATGTTTTGAAGAAAAAAGACTGATAAAATATTTCCTGGATGGTAGAAGTTTATTCTGCTTGCCAAACCTAATAAGCCCAGTTATTTTCAATTATACTGTAAGGTTAACTACACAGCAAGGACTCATGTAGACACCAGCAGATCAACTACATCATGTATAGAGTATGCTCCTGGCTGTACCTACTGCATAACACAGGCACACATGTGCACCATGTAGTAACTCAGAAAACTAGGCACCACCTATTCTCCCCATTAGAGAATCAAAAAAAAATATCATCTATTACATGAAATAAAAACTTCTTTTGAATGCTCCTTATTACACCTTAACTTTTACTCGATTACAATTATATCTCATGCTTTCTTCATAGAAATTAAACGTCTTGCAGAAATGACACAAGTTTGATGTACTCACTGTAAACTTCTCCTCCCTTTTCTTCCGGTAACCAAAGGAATTCTTCCTGGAGGAGAGAAAAAACAAAAGACTTAATTTTTTTCCCACTTGGGACATTTTTCATTAGGCATACATATTTAATCTTTATGACTTTGTAATCTTTCACAATGACTTCCGGGTTGAAATCCCAACTTACACTTAAGAAGTGTAAGCAAAAAAAAAAGTAAGAAAAAACCCATAAAAACATAAATTGCATAGTAAAAGACTAAAACTGATGTCTAGATAGGTAAATCAAAATATTGAAAGACTATTCCTAGTAGTTATTCAGAATTTTTATCATGATATCAATACTTGAACATCCATTTATTTGGAACAACAGGATGTGTAAAATCCAACACTAAACTACACAGGTGAACTGTTAGAGGATGGTGATGAAATGTATCAGATTTATCATAAACATGCAAAAACTCCAATAGTCTAATCAGCTGCCTCCTCAGCCTTCAGACTGCCAAGTCAACGAACGGCCTACCCGTTACCACCAAACACACAAGCATTTCTAAACCTCAAGCACCATCTCTACCCAGCTGCTGGCTGCATGAAGTGTTCTACAGTCTACAACTCAGATCCAGCCAGACTAGAGAGGCAGCAAAACTGGGCCATGCACCACAGTGCATAACCTAAGTGACCAAAGCAGGCCCTGAGGATACTAAGACACTTTCATCACTGCCCTGTATCGACTATGTGGCCTAAGAGTTCACATATTATTCCAATTTATAATTTCGTTTCTATTTATTTAACCCGTTATCACCTCACATAAATGCAAAGATTCTGGGGACATTTGTATTACATAAGCCAGGGAGGAGTTTAGAAATAGTCTTGACTAATTCCTTTATTTTACAGAAAATCTACAAAGAGCCTTGCCCAAAGCAGCTAACTAATTAAAATAATGAGCTTACAGCCTCACTATCCCAAGTAGGACACGTGTGGAGCCTCTGGTTCATGCCTCCAGAAAGGCAGTGCAAACCCCTAGGATTCTGGACCAAAACCACACACCCTCTGCTACAAAATCAATTCCCAAAATAGCTCCTTGCTTTTCAAATGACTCCTAATATAGCCTAAATGCCTCACTGTAAACATCAGTGACCACGGACTTGAGATGCCCACCATAATCAGGGCACTAAACCACGGAGACGGGCACAAGCACCCACCAGCAGCAGAAGCAGCACAATAGAGCCAGGGCTCCAGTCCTGTGCGTCACCCCTTCCTCTCAATCCACATCTACAGCGTCATGGGAAGTCTCTCAGCACAGGGACAAGGGGGGAGTTCGAGATCTGGATTACTGATGGCCATGCAGTATCAGATCACCTTGGCTTAAACCCCATTTAGGAGTGCCTCCAAAAGCTAGGGGCAGGGGGATCATCCCAGGTGGCAGAACTTCAAGCAACACATTTGTTATCCACTGTTCCTGGAGGCAGAAATGGTCAAAAGTACAGATTTACACTGGTTTTCAAGCAGGGGAGGTAAGGGTCTGGCTAGATGACAGACTCACAAAGACTAGGACTCCAAGTATGGTAACAGAAGACTTTGGAAGTTTTATGGAAGGAACGGTGCAAAGGCATCTGTGTTGAGGTCACTCACTTTAGGAGAGGCCCCTGACAGGAGGAAGAAAAGATGTGGTGACCAGTTAGCCTCTTCCTGGTCCCACCAGGTGCATGGTAGTCACACTTAAACACCAAGGCTAGCCTGTTGATCACCACCCTAGTAGTGCCAGCCTTGTCCCATCCTGGAGGAGGCAGAACTTCTAGCTGCCAATGCTCCATCAGCACCATTCAGCAGACCTAAGGGGAAGCCACCTTGGCCCCATGGTGCCTGTGCAGCACAGGTCAGACCCGGAGGCCAATCCCACAACAGCAGAAGTGGTAAACAGACTGGCAGAGTGAAGACAGATGCAAGGCTAGGGCCAGCCGTACCCTCAAAGGATGGCCCTAACTCAGGAGATGCAGCATATGCTTCACACATGGCCAGAGCTCGGGCTATGGCGGTGCATAGGTCCAGGCACCACAAAACACAGGCTATCGTGTGCTCCATGGTGCCAGTAGACTACTGGAACACACCCAGTATTTTACCAGCACAATTTCTGCTTACTGTGCCCACAACTTTGAATTCTAGTGGTTTGGCTGCCTTGGTCCCTAGAGCAGGACGTACTCACCAGGTGAAATACCCGAGCATCTGCTCAGCTGAAGTTCCTCCTGCCACTGAACCTGACTAGGTGACTGCTATGCAGGCTGCTGCTACAGAGGGGCTGGAGAATCATGTGTGTCCAAGGGGACTCTCTAGGGTGCCTCATACTGCTCCTTATGCACAACACATAAAGTTAATGGAAGACAAAACAAAACCCAGAAAAAAGGAGTGCTGCCAGTGAGTATAGCCACTGTGGCTCGGGTCCTCCAGGGTCACCCTCTGGCTGAAGACCCTGGAGAGCCTGATAACCTTGTCTAAAAACAAAGGAAATGTGAGGAAGAGGGAAGGAATCACCTATCAGTATCGAACAGGGCTTCCTGACCAGCTTTTACTTGTGTGTCATGTACACTGCTGCATGTCACTTCAGCTCTTGCTAGTGGTGGTTTCAGTCCTCAGGGTAAGACTATGTGGGAGTCTCCATTTTGTGGGCAAAGGCATTAACTCATCACTACTGCAGCTTGGAAGTTCAAGTGCTGTCGAAGATTGTATCCATGTGGCCAGAGGTGGGCAGTGTTGGTCAACCAGATGCTTCTCAGCTTCATGTGGACCCTTACCCTCCTGTGTGACAATGGGCAGGTGTTCTTGAGACCGTGTCTTTTCATGACCATGACACATCTTGTTAAGCTTTTCCCAACGGGAAGTGCTAGTGGGAGCTGGAGAAGTGACAGGAGGACATGGAAGCCTGTCTTCCTGATGATGCTTTTTCTGCTTTGTCCCTCCAGCAGCATAGCAGGCCTGGCCCTTCCTTAGGTCTCGCCTCAAATTCATAAGCCTGGCTCCAAGCCTCCCAATGTTCCCCACGCCATTGGTAGCGGCTCCTTCCTTAAGTAACTGCCTCTGCATTTCCTCAGTGTTCCCCTTTGCCTTTCAGCCTTCCGACATCTGCTGAACCAACTTTTTAAATCAAATTTCTAATGTGCAGTTCTGTGCCAGTTCACCTGCAACATGCTGTCTTTAGTCATTCTAACTCCATCTTACAACCCCTCCAAGGTCTGGCCCTGTGGACTAACCACCATGAGTACAATGGCCTGCTTGTGGCCCTTCATACTCCCAATCTGCACTGGAGGCACACGCTGAGCCAGGAAGAAGAGGTAACAATGTTACTGGAGTTTGTGCATGTCAGACATTGTGCTGTACACTCTGTATGAAACACTTAGAAATATGTTCATCTAAAGTTTTCAAAGTAGATTTAAAAAACAAATGAGCCCTGGCTGGTGTAGCTCAGTGGACTGAGCGCAGGCCTGCGAACCACACAATCGTGGTTCAGTTCCCAGTCAGGGCACATGCCTGGGTTGCGGGCCAGTTCCCAGCAGGGGACTCATGAGAGGCAACCGTACATTGATGTTTCTCTCCTTCTCTCCTTCCCTTCCTCTCTAAAGATAAATAAATAAAATCTTTAAAAAAAATGAAAAAAGCTTATGCAGGTTGAATTAGTTATCCATCAGAGGGGACTTCCTTCATGACAGCATATATTGAATGAACCACTAAGAGAAACAACTGAATAAAGCCAGCTGCAATCTGTCAACCCCAGACAGGAGAGCAGTGACTAAATGCAAACCTGGGACTCACTTCCACCTTCTTAATCTCACCTCTCTAATCAAGTGTAAGTGGCAGAAGGCAAGGCAGTAAGCAGCAGCAAACTGCGTCAAAGGAAAAGGAAAAAGACAGTGGACACAGCCCACTGTTAGGATACAGTAATGACCCAGGTAATGACCATGGGCATTGCAAAACCAACTGTATTAGCCTGAACATCCAGCGATGTAAATCTTCCCCTAAATGTGACCAACAGGCAACCTACTGAACCGTAACAGCTTTTGTTTATAAATAAATGTAGTACTAATGGAATTTAAATTCTTGGCTGGTTTAAACTCGTGTAGTCTGTCTGGCTACACAACTCAGTATCTGTCTATTCTAGAACCCTGCTGGCTAGAAAAAAAGCAAGGCTGGGAACAGAAAACATGGGCTCTCTGTACAGGCAGGAATGGGAGAAGACCAGAGGCTCACAGATTGTGGAGTCCGGTATCTAATCCACTTGAACATCTCCACAAATAATAACTGTGACTTAATATAGTTCCATTCCACCCATAGTCTATAACGAAGATGAGAATAGTTAGATCCCTGCTCTAGAAAAGTAACACCTCTGTATCATTATATAAAACCTGTGATGGTACAGCCTTCAATTTGATGTTCTGATATATCTGAAAATAATGACTATAAAAAACATATCTCAATTAATGGAATTTGAAAATATTAATAGTTTATAAGTACACAGTACCCACCCAACAACTGTTCTGAGTAACTCACCTGCCTCTACCTAGGCCAGGAGAGGAGTCAAGACTACTCTGCTCCACCCGCCCGGTCCCAGCATCTCTCTTGGCATAAGTTGGAGGGTTCTGTATGCGGGTTCTAGGTTGGCCTGTCTGCCTTGCTTGTGGGCTCCGCACACCATTAATTAATCGATCCGCAGTGAAGTTAAATATTGATGGACTTTCTAACAGCCCAGGCCCTCTCTCTGCAGTAGGAATGGTGTGGCGCAGATGGGCTTTACTAGGATTCCTGCAAATAAAATGTAAAGGCTCAGTTATGAATGATCACATGATGAAATGAGCATGCTCACAAAGCAATGACTAGAAAAGGGTGTGCAACCTGCAGCCCACGGGCCACATATGGCCCAACACAAAATCATAAATTTACTTAAAACTTCTTTTTTGCTCATCAGTTTTCATTAGTGTTTGTGTATTTAATGTGTGGCCCAAGACAACAACTCTTCTTCCAGTGTGGCCCAGAGATGCCAAAAGACTGGACACCACTGGAAGGTAAAATGTGCTCACAATTCAGAAAAAATATAAAAATGATAAGAACAGTTAATGCATATGTCTGATAGTGCTGACAGTGCCAACCTGTAACTACAGTACCGATCTGCAAATGAAAAACAGGCATGCATGGCTGCCAGCTGCCCCAGAAGACTTTTTCTAAAGAGATGTCCCCTATATGTAGGCACCACTAGCACCACTTTTGGTAATTCTATGCTTCGGGTAGTTTTATCTCAGATAAAGTACATCATCCAAGTACATCAGTGGTCAAGTACATCATTAGCGATGGTCAGGAATAGCCTTTTCATTTAGTAAATGGAATTCATGCACACAGTGAGAATAACCAAGGTTTAACACATTTTTTTTTTTGCTTTACTTTTAAAGCATATGATGTAGAAGTGACCTCTTACTACAAGCCGTAGAAAAACACCATTTTATTCACTCATGGAACTACTTGCCTGCTTCTCGGAGGGTATTGTCTGAGTGAAGTCAGAGGAGATGCTGTGGGTTTGAAGGTTGGAGATGTAAACCCATTTATAAATCCAGTATTTGGAAATGGAGTTACCTAGATTCATTAAAAACAAACAAGTCAACAAACCATAACCAGACTTCAGCTTGGTTAAGACTGCTCCTTATGGTAACCTGAGTCATTTCTTGACGTGTCAAGGAGGCTATGTTCCATTTCACACTTAAATATTCATGGGTTTAGGAAGAGCGTTGTATAAGATTATTGCTAAAAATCTAGCCGTGGCTAAGACCTATTCCTGGGCTATTTCAGATGATCCTCCCAGCAAACCCATGAGGATGCGGATTCCCACACGTGGAAATTGACACGAGAGGGAAGTGCCTCCAAGACCCCACATGCTTGTCTGGAAAGTCCCAGTGCTCAACCTAATGCACTGTACCACAACCTCCAGACTGGCAATAAGTCAGCAATTCCTTCTTATTCCTGATGACTGAAATGGAATTGCTTAAAATGCTACAGGAGAGAGAGAGAGACTTGAAATTTTGTTAGAATCCCCAATGCACTGATGAGAAACCCCACAACCTGAAAGGGTCACACTAGGTAAAATTACGTCAATCTCCCCAGACCGAGACTGTTTATCATGGGAAGACCCATCAAGAGGCATAGTTTCATGTATGCACTTTCACATGTAGAACTCTGATATTTGAGTAATATTACTCAAGAGTTTAAAAATAAGTTAGTTATTAAAATAATAATACAACTTGCTGAGAATAGGCACCATCTCTTCACTCTTTTTCAAAAATGCAGTGTGTTTTAGAGCAAGCAAAGAGCCTCACACACCAGACCAGGAACCATCCCAAACGGCCGGACAACTGATTCAGGGTCCCAAAGTACCCCACTCTGGACAGGGGTATGCATGATTAGAGAAATTAGGAGAGCAAACTAATTCAAGGACAGCACAAGCATGGCAGTGGCCTCCTTTGGAGAAATTATTCAACACAGGAGTTTACAGACTCTTTCCTTTTACATTTCTCCTGTGCTATATTAACTATACGGCTATCGGTACACTTTTACAGAATGTAGTACATAACGTCAAAAAAGTAATACATTTTGAGCAAACCATTAGGATTCACTCAAAAGAAAGAGACACACTCTGCATGTGAGCACTTGTCTGCTACCATCTTTCACTGAGTGGTTCTAGACTTGAGGGGCTCTGTGCCCATGAGGACCTCTCCTGATGCGTCTCTCTCCCCATCCATCCTTCTCATGTACCATACACCACAGATGAAGTCCACACATCTCAACACACAGTTAAGAACCCATACAGTCCTGATCTCAGCTGTGCCTTCACTCAGAAACACTGGACACACCACAACCACCCCAGGCACTTCTGTGCATGCCACTCTCATATAGCTTCTTTCCCTTCCAGCACTTCTGATATGCTCCATTTAGGTGATACGTTACCCGATAAATTCTAAGTAATTCTGTGCCCCATTTTTGCAATAACCACCTACTTGTCACACTTGTTTTTTGATGAACATCTTTACATTCTAGTAGGTAACAGGCATCCACCACCCAGCTGAACACTCCTTCTCTCAGGCTCATCCTCTTCAGTTACCATCCTCTCTACACCCATCAGTAGTAACAAGAGCCTCGGGTGACATCCCTAATGATGGGACTCAGCTCATGTCTCTCATTTCCACACAGCTGATAGAAACTTTCCCACCCCAACTTTCCCTAATGTGGTCCACGGCCATATCTTCAAAATTTCTAACTTGATCCCTGTTTTCTAACCACAGCCTTCTGCATACTCCACCCTTCCATTGCTACAGTTCCAACAAATCCTGCTGGCAATCCAATATAAACCTCCCATCCAAATCAACCCACCCCACTCCCAGCCAGGAGCCAAATGATCACTTCTTTTCCTGCCATGGATCAGCGCTGATACATCCACTGCATCTAACTCATGCCCAGGGCCTACCCAATCCTTCTAACATCTGCACCAGCACAGTTGGAGAAAAAGACCGAATCCATTACAAATCTATAGATTCCAACCACAGGCATTAACTGAGCCCAAAATATGTAAAAATTACTCATGCCAACCAACGATAAGGCTGGTGTGAAAAATAAAACTTATAAGATGGCACATTTTCTACTTGTTCTTGACTGTTACAAGCCTATTAGAACACTGTTTTCCTTAAAGGCATCGCCCCCCCCCATACTCACAGTTCCTGCTACCCACCCCAGAACTTGCATCACACTTTGTTCTGTTAGGGATATACATATCCTTACATTTAGAAAAGGATATGTTAGACAGAAGGGCAGGCAAACTGGGCAAAGGACTGAGAGTATAGTGCTTGAAGGTTTTTTAATGAACATGGCTCCTTATTTATCTCTCAACTAAATTAAAAACCCACCACAGAACCAGAAGGTCTGTTTTTCTTCAGTAAACTGTAGACCCATCTGCTCCATGTATCAGATGAAGATCTTTATCCTTTAAAGCATCTAGTACGGTGTCCATTACACAACTTTCTGTTACAAAAGGGACAAGACAAGACAAGACAGGACTCACCAAGGGTGGATCGAGATAGCCGTGTGTTGCTGACCATGTCTGGGGAGCAATCAGGCTGTACAGAGGGAACTGCTGCTGGGGGCTATAGATGGGAGGTAAGTAAAAGGATGCTGTGTAACGGTGCTGTGTGTAAAGGCTCATGTCCAGGGGCCTAAATCCATTCTTTGGCAAAAATGTGTTTATAGCTATTGCCTTTGCTTTTATCCGTGCCTGTGTGAAAATATAGTAAGTATCTATTAGAATACTTTAGAATACTGATACACAAATAAAGTATTACCAGTGGTCTTGCTTACCTTAATTGGTTTTCCTTGAAAAGTTTTGACTTCTTCTCGCAGATATTTGTAAGCCTAAGGAAAAATCATCCAAAGTACCATTGTGTCAATCTTATAAACAAGATAAACTGACAGTTAATATGTCAAATAAGGAATTATACAGTTAAAATACTATGCTAGTATTTTGAGTGGACAAGACCTAGAACTATGATTCTTAACCTTCTCTGGGTTACAGATTCCTTAAAAAACAAAAACAAAAACGAAACACCTGCTAAGAGGTATGGATTCTCTACCTAAAATTCTTATAGACAACATCTGTATATATTCTGTAAGTACTAATAGGTAACCATGAAAGCCCACCAGAGACCACAGGCTAAGAAGTCTGACATAGGGGGGAAAAAAAAAAAGGGAGTTGAGTTCCTAGTGTTAACCCTAATTTGAAACTCAGATTATAGTTTGGGAAAGGAAAAGACTAGAATCTCAATGTTCCAAAGTCCTTATTCTTCTCTGCACCCCCTCCATAACACTAAAGGCTTTGACCCACCTAACTACCTGCTGAGTAGTCCCCCCACCCAGTTAAAACCCATCTTTCAGATTCTCTTTTTATCCTGCATCCACACCATTTAACACTGAACAATCTGCAGGTTTCCTTCACACATACTACTGTTTCTGCAGAGAAAAACCTTCCTTTAAGGGTAGAGAGATGATTCTAACTCCTGTCTCCTCCCAGAGCATTGGTGCCCTTTCAAGTATCTTGTAACACATGTGATGCCAAGTGAAAATTAAATTCAAGTTAAAACCTTTCTCTGCCCCAATACAAGAACAGAACTACCTGTCCTAGGCTACTTGTGCTTATATGTCCTCAGACTATCATGTCACATGCTTTTAATATTGCCAGAAAAACTGTCCACACACACATACCTAGTTAAGTTTCTACAACTTGATTTCCTCTGTACTTTATACTCAAACTTAATCCTGTGATATAACAGTAATCTCAATACCCGAACTGAGTCGCACCATGTGCTAACTGTTCACTGGTACACTCTGTGCTTCTTGGAGGAGAGGAGCTTACCTGTTGCGCATCAGCTTCAGTTTCAAATGTAATAAACCAATTATCATTATAGGCAAATTCACAGTTTATAAATTTTGGTAAATTATCTCCTTTAAATAGTGCTTCTACTTCCTACAGGAAATAGAAAAGTTAGAAATTAATTCTCAACCATGCCGCCCTTGGTCCTCACCAAATAAAAATGTTGCATGCTTTTAAGATAGATTCTTAGCTAACATACTGACATCCAGTAAATCTTTTCTTGAAAATGGCTCAGTGTGGCTTTCAGGAAAATAAGTCCACAACTTACTGACAGCTTTCTCTACTACCAAGATACCATTAAGCTAAATTAATGTGAAAATACCATTTCATTTACCAGTAGGCTGATAGCTGTGGGCGGGAGGGGGGCACAGACAGAGATAGGATGGTGGAGGGGTAGTTATAATTTAAGAAATTTAAAAATTAGCTGGACTTTTGCTTCTGGCCAAGATTAGCCAGATTTATCTTCCAATATGAAACAATTAAAAACAAAAGACAAAATACATGGAATAACAGTTTTCAGACAGTGGACCTCAGGCTGTGTAGCACAGGTGAACTTGGGAGAACAAAGCTCACACCTGGAGTTTCTAGGTGGCAGTGCTAGGAGGGTGAGCAGAGCCAAGGGCCAAGACAAGGCAAGACCGGACCAGCCCAGCCCCTCCAGGGCCTTCTGAAGGCAAGCAGAGGGCAGTGCCTCAGTTTGAAAAGGGAAATCAGCTCTAGCAAAAAAGCAGCTTTGCTCCCAGCTAACAAACACTAAGGATCAAACTACTTCCAAGTCTGTCAACTGAACCTCAGAACAAAGCTAAAAAATATTCAGCACCCAATAAAGTCCAAAATGCCTAGCACCCATTTGAAGTTTACCAGGAATATCCCCCACCCAAAGAGACCTATAATGAGAAAACTCAAGGAATCAAATAAAAAGATTCTTACGATGCGCTATAGAAACACTTATTCTTCATTTTCTCAAGGCATGACCATCAGCAGTGTGTTTTACTATACAATGCAACTCAGTTTAAACAACTGGACAAGCCACAGATTTTAGAACAATTCAGTTTAGAGCAATTCTGTTACTTTTCATGACTCCAACTATCAAATACTGTGGTTTCCTAAAATTACTGCCTAAGTTTAGTTTTCATATTATGACCCATAGACTCTGTGGGGTCTTACATAAAAAAGATGCCTTTACCTTTTTACTATGACAACATCTGCACTGATGCAGTCCTATCAGCTCAGATGAAGAACAAGCTACTCTAGTGCTCACTGCACTCTTTTCAGTGTCCCTCTTGTCATGAAAATACTTGCTTTGAAAAGTTATAATCTTTATCTTCACTTGTGGTTTATTATTATCTTTTTAAAATAAATAAATAAATAAATAAATATTTAAATCTTTTCATTGCTAAATATTAAAATCACCGTTATTTCTTAAAATGTATATAAAGTGTGTAGCAGAGTTCCAAGACCAAAAATTCTGAGAACCACTCTCATATACGAATCACACTGTAACCATCAGTGTGTGAATCCTGGAAAAAAAGTATTACTGCACATATGTGTTCTTTAAAATAAACTCTCCAAAAAACACAGAAGTAAACAAAAAACCCACAACAGAAACCCAAGTAGCTTTCTAGGGAGGAATGACTTACTTCTACAGGGGTGGATTCAGAGATTTCACGTAATATTACTATGCAACGATTTTGATTTGGCCTTACTTTTTCTCCCTTCTCATCCACTTGGACTAAAGGTAAAGCTGTAAAGAGAAGAAAAATGAATAGTAAAAAATATATATATTAAAACAAACCGATCATTTACATTCTATTATAATATAAATACTCCAATGAGATGTTATACTATGTAGCTAAACACATTAAAAAAAAACTGTATACAACTGTAAACTAGTAAAAGGTTTTAAGCTAATCTTGCATGTTACATTTCTCAAAACTACAGAAGATGGGAATTTCAAAAGTCATATAAGGTTCTAAAAAGCCCAAGTAACTAACAATTACAATCTTACAATTCAGGGTTAATGGCTTTTCTGCAAGTCCCCAAAATAAAATAATTTTCTCATTATGACTTTTCATCTTGAATTCACAAGAGGTAAAGTGGTTTTATATTAAGATGCAAGTAGGTCAGATGGAACCAAACTCAACTGACACATAAAACACGTTTCTGTTGTCAGTCAACTACGCCGCCCCCGGCCCCCCCAAAAACACTGGAAAGCACAACTCAAGAAAGAGTGGTATAGTTTTTAGAATTCAAACTTCATGGATTATGTTTGCCAGTTTCTTCATTATGCGTTTCAATAATTTAATGATCTTATGACATTTGCTTAAGAACAGAAAAATAAGAGGAAAACTTTCAATTTGTGAACAGAAAACCCAACTCTGTTTGCAAGGTAAGATACTCATCTTTTTCTACCACTATTAGGTCAAATACAAGAAAAAAAAATCTTCACTGATTGTCTGCAGTATAACTTAGGGAGAAAATGAAAACACTTTTGCAGAAGATTCAGATGAAAAGTCATGGCGGTAACTTAGAGAAATGGGCACAGTGATGTCTTATCATTTAGAAATATTTAGGTGGGGCAGAGGGCACACATCACACTGTGTTCTTTGTGAAGAAAAGCCATCGGAACTGCTCAGTAGTGCAGTCCTGAGGAGGGAGACAGAAATTATTCACCTGGTACTTGTAAACTGTATTATAAAAAGTAAATTTGTATAATTACAAATAATCCCACTTAAAAATCTAAAATATCATACATTTAATATAAAACTAATTCCCACTGAAGCCATGCTGAGTAGCAGAGAAGGGACAAAAATGTTACAAAGGGGAAAAGGAAACTTTGGACAGTGGTGGACATGTTTGTAATCTTGACCACACTAAAGGTTTCACTGATGCATACGTATGTTCCAATTGACCCAACTAAAAAATTTAAATACGCACAGTTCACTATGTCAATTATACTTTGGGAAAATGGTTTTTAGAAAAAAATAAAATGGTTAGGTTGTACAAAATTCGATATGCAAAGCAAACCAGGGAACCAGCAAACTACATCTGTGACATGGCGGATGACTCTTTAAATATTCACATTTCCTGAATTACTGTGGGTCTCTGATGTACCTGTTTAAAACCTCCTTTGATGTTGACAAATGTCTAGGTAACAACCTCATTCACAATATCCTTTTAAGAAAAAAACACACTTTCAGCAAAACTTAAGCAGTAAGGTAAAATTTGAAAGTAACTACTTTAGTGGTATTCCTTTACCCTAAATACCACTATTTAACTTCTCATTCATGTCACTGCTTCTGTTATCTTTCCCCCGGCCTTTTCCACACCCTGGACTTATAATAGATCCTATCAACACCCAGTGCCATGGGCACTCCACCAAACCTGGGGGCTGGTCAGAAAGGCCCAGATGGCAGGGAAGACTCCACTTGCCATGAAAGACCTTAGCACTGAATGGCTGTAGATCTAACCATCACTCCAGTGAGAAAAACGCTGTGAAGACCAGGTACAATGCTGCCTAGATTGTTGTTCACTTACATCTCAGCACTTCGACAATCAAGTCCAAGTCAGTGCTGAGCTTCTTGATGTGGTCCAGATTAGCCACTGTGGTGATTGGCACGTACTGATCACTGTCCATCTGTGATATAAGGTACATGTCACTAGCAAGGTTCTCCCTGCAGAAAGAAGACAGTCTCTCTTAATTAACACCTTTTTAAGAATGTTTTAAGAATTTTCTTACAAGAACACCTTGCAAGAATATGATTGTGGCATGATGTTGCTTCAGAGCTAGTTAAATCTGAGTTCTAATCCCACCTCTTATTTGCCTTGGGTCAAAGATATTTGGGGAGGCAGAAAGAGCAAAACTAAAAGTATACTGCACTTTATACAATCAAAACTAATGAGAAAGTAAATCTTTACAAAATGTATTTACACTTTATCTGTTTTAAAGAGCTTTAAGTAGCTTATTCAAAATACAATTTTTTAAAGTAAGGAAATCTACCTGAAAGGACAATAAAATAAGAAAAATATGAAAAGACCAGGAAAGGTGGGTGCCCAGAGTGTTTGCTGTTCAGTCTACAACACTTGCCAGAAAAGCAGCAGATCCAACTCTGGCTTCCCAGCACTTTCTAGCAACCAGGATTTAAAAAAAAAAAAAAAAAAGAAGGAAACTTGATCATAGCATGACCTACAGGTCACAAGGTAAGTCACAGATTACCAGTAAATTTAGGTGAAGATGAGCTACTTCCTGGTATTTTGGCCTACGATGAACACCTTTAAGTATTAAAGCAGGCCCGGAGAAAAACCTGAAAAATCACCAATACTGATAGAAAATTTTACATGGGCCAACTGGTTATCTTCTCACTCAAAAAATAAATAAATAAATAAATACAGTTAATCCCATCTTCTTGTTTGTCCAGTTCTTCCATTTGAACTTTAGAGGTTCTATTCTACTTTTGAATAGAAAAGGTATTATCCAGGGGAGAAAAATACATCTAAAAATATGAATGCTATATAAATAAAGCAATCTATTATAGCAATCAATGCTTGGCATATTTTGAGAACTAGTATAAGGAATTTGTTCTCAAACTTTAATGTGCTGAAAACCTAAGGCATGGGGCAGGGCCCAGGAACCCAAATTTCAAAAAGCAACTCGGATAATGATCATCAAGATGAATTTGTGGCAACTCTGGGGAACTCTGACCTAGAAATTAGTTTAGTTCTCCAACATGTCAAAGGTTACCTACTCATTATTCTAGACTTCCTACTACATAGACATGGACAATAACAGATGTATACTCCTTCTATGTAAAATGTTACATCCATATATAATAATCAATGGACAACATCACAGGTATTAGGCACTAGGAAAACCACCACCATCCTTACCTGGATAAACAGAATTCCAATGTTTTTTTAAGTACTTCTCGGGGGTCTTCCTGGCTTTCTGGCTGAGAATCATTTCCTCCTACATAAAAGTAATAATCAACTCAGGAAAAATGTCTTAAAAATTTTAGGTAGATAATTCAGTACAGCAATTCTAATGTTTTCAGTATATTATTAATTCATCCAGCGTACAGATTATAAGAACAATGCCATTCTACCTACCAAAAAAAAAAAAAAAAACCTCCTCTCCCCCAAACAGAAACACAGTTTTGAAAAATAATCAGAGTATAAGATTAGCAGGTGCTTTTTATCATATAATATGTACAAGTTTATTTAATGCTTTGTCTCAATTCCAAAAAAGAATTTCAGGTAGTCTACAAAAACACAGATACCAAAGCAATGATAAAATATATAGGAAAGAATCAAAATAAGAAAAAGATAAATACAGGCCAAAAAATCAAGGATGGGGATGATAAACACATATGTTCTAAGTACCACAATTTCTAAACAAGAGGCTTATAAACAAGCCTTTAAAGTTACAGAGACTTAAAGTCACAAGTAAGAAATTGAGGAGTCACAGGAATGCTACTGAGAACATTAAATAAACAGATCCTCAAGAGGGAACTTCATTAGGTTGAGAAACCTAATAAACCTACTTCAGCCAGGTGGCCATGGTCAATATCACAGTGACAAATCATGCTGATACTATGTATCCTTAACATGACAGGATAAAGACCACAAGACCTCAGTGGTCTTCCTGCCTTGATCATAGAAAAACATTAAACAAATTCCAATAGAACAGAAGAGTAGAATATACAATAACTGACAAGTCCTCCTCTAGACTATCAAGGTCATCAAAAACAAGCAAAGTCTAAGAAACTGTTACAGCCAAGAGGAACCTAAGAAGACATGAGAACTAAATGTAATGTGGTATCCTGAAATAGGTAATATATACCAATAGTGTGGCAAATGTATCATACTAATAATGTAAGATGTTAAGAATATAAGGAACTAGATGCCTGGTCTATGGGAACTCTCTGTATTCAATTTTCTCAATTTTTCTGTAAGTTTAAAACTGTTCTAAAACAAATAGCAAGATGAGAGAGTCAAATTAACTATATCAATTACCACAGTAAATGTTAATGTTCAGATCATTATATTTGACTTTTTATTAAAAAGAACACAAGATCAACTGTTACATTACCTATAAGAAATGTACTTTATTAAATATAAATACCCAAATAGGTTAAAAGTAAAAGGATGGAAGAAGCTATACCATTACCAGGGATAAAGAAGATCATTTCATAATGACAGAGGAGTTAATTTATCAGGAGGCCATAGTAATCTTAAAACATGTATTTTTATTCCAAAATACATGAAGCAAAAACTGGAAGAACTAAAATGAGAAAGAGACAAATCTAAGAACAGATAGAATATCTACTTATCTTAATAACTGATACAACATGTAAACAGAAACTAGAAATACAGTAGACTTGAACAACACTATCACCTAACTAGACCTGACTGATACTTATAGAACACCCCCATAACAACAGCAAAATGCATTCTTCTTTAATGCAAAAGGAACATTTAGAATGCCTGTACTTTGGGCCACAGAATATTTAACCAAATTAAAAGAGATTCAAGTCATACAAAGTATGTCCTTGGACCACAATGAGAGTAAAATTAGAAATCAAACAAATTTTCACTGGAAAATCCCCAAATATTTAGAAACTATACAAAATACTTCTAAAATACCTGCAGAATGGAAAAAATTTAAGAATTTGAAATTGAATTTTAAAAGAAAGACATATCACAATCTGTAAGATTGTGCTACAGTAGTACTGAAGAGGAAATTTATAGAACTAGATGGCTATATTACTAAGGAAAAATGGCTTTTGTCTTATCAGATACTAAGGAAAAAGAGAACAAATTAAACACAAAGTTACCAGAAGAAAGTATATCATAAAGATTAGGGGGGGAAAAATCAATGAAATGGAAAAAAAAAAAAGCAGTTGAGGAAAATTAATGAAACCAAACACTGATTTTTTTTGAGAAGATCAACAAAATTGACAAACCTCTACTAGTTTGATTAAGGGAGGGAAAAAGAGAAGACACAAATGACCAATAACAGAAATGAGTGATGTGATAGATTCTATAGATTAAAAAGATAAACAGAATAATATGAGCAGCTCATATGCACTAACTTGGACAATTAAATGAACGGGTCCAAATCTTTGGTAGATACAAAGCTCCTTGAAAAAGAAACAGATAACCTGAGAAGCCCTATGTAAATAAATAAGTAAATAAATAAACCCCCAAAAGTTGTAGTTTAAAAGTTTCCTACCGATAAAACTCTAGGCCCACATGACTTCACTGTTTAATTTAAGGAAGAAATAATAAAATCATCCAAAAACGGAACAGGAAATAATATCTCAAAAAGAAAACTACAGACCAATATTATTCATGAACACAGATGTAAAAATGCTAAGCATAATTTTGTAATCTAATCCAATAATCTATCAAGCATATTATATCATGACCTAGTGAGGCTTATCCCAGGAATTTAAGTTTGGTTAAACGGTTGAAAAACTAATCAGTATAATTCACCTTTAACACACCAAGAAAGAAAAAATATATGACCATCGCCACAGATGGAGGAAAAACAAGACACACTACAAGAACCATTCCTCATAAAAGTTCCCAGCAAATAGTAAGAAAAGATACCTCATTAACATGCATGTAAAAATAACTAACATTGCCCTGGCTGGTGTGGCTTAGTGGCTGAGCGCTGGCCTGTGAACCAAGGGTCACTGGTTTGATTCCCTGTATGGACACATGCCTGGGTTGTGGGCCAGGTCCCCAGCAGGGGCATGTGAGAGGCAACTACACATTGATGTTTCTTTCCCTCTCTTTCTCCCGCCCTTCTCCTCTGTCTAAAATAAATAAATAAAATCTTAAAAAAAAACCAAAAAACTAACATTACACTCAATATGAAGACTGACTGTTTTCCCACTAAGATCAGTCATATGTTTGCACTCACTACATTTGCTCCCCTTTTAATGAAGGATCTATCCAGTACATCATGCAAGATAAAAGACACCAGACTGGCTAGGGAATAACACTGAATTTATTCACAGATAAATTCACATCTATGTTGAAAATCCAGTATAATCTACAAAAAGTTCCTAAAATGAAGAAGTCCACTTAGCAAGTTTGCAAGTATAATATCAATTTGTAAAAATTAATTATATTTCTATCTACTGATAACAATTGCAAATTAAATTTTTAAAAATCACAACAGCACCAAAAAAATATACTTAAGAATTGGACAAAAGATGTGAAAGACTAATACACTGAAAACTAAAAAAAAACAAATAAACAAAAAAACACAGCCAAGAGAAATCAAAGAAGACCTAAACAAATGGAAACATACACCTTGCTCATGAGTACTATAATTAAAGATGTTGATTTTCTGCAATTTTGCTAAAATTTAATGCAATCTCAATAAAAATCTCAGTATTTTACAGTTACCAGCTTATTCTAATTTGTATGAAAATGGAAAAGAACTAGAAAAGCCAAAATAAGTCTGAAAATGAACAAAATGAGAAGGCTAACACTATGTGTTTTTAAGAGTTACTTACAGTAATCAAAACACTGTGGCACTGCTGTCAAAAGAGACTAACAGGACTTCCGCCAAGATGGAGACGTAGGTGGAACCACCTTGCCTCTGTGCACAACCAAATCTAAGAACAACTATTTTTAACAACAATAAACACAACCAAGCCACACAGAAAATCGACAATACGGAGTCCAAAGACAACTAAATGCTCAGCTAAACCGGTAAGAGAAGCGAAGCCAGCATCAGAGCGGGTTGGCAAGAAAAAATCCCTGGGTGGTACGAGGTGCGCAAGCAGCCGAAGGCGTGGATCCCGGGCTAGCTACGGGAGCACACAGGGAAGTGGTGCCGCGGGCTGTCTGCGGTTGGTCGGTCGGTTGCGCATCTGCATGTGGATAAACCAGTGAGAAGGGAAGTGGTGTGACTGGACGGACTGGGCTAGCGGAGAGGACCGCCATTGCTCCCTCTCTGACCACGCCCCCACACACAGCACCACAAACCAGCAACCTGGGTCGCCCCGTCCTGGTAAACAACTAAGGCTTCGCTCTGCTTACTTAACGGCACGAATAGACCAAAAATGGCTCTAGGACAACTCAGAGCCCCAGAACCGATCGATCTAAGCGATGAAGAAATAGCCAGTCTTTCAGATGCACAGTTCAAAACACTGGTTATCAGGATCCTTACAGAACTGGTTGATTTTAGTCACAAATTAGAGAAACATATGGAAGCTAAACTAATTGAAATGAATGGTAATACAAAGGAAACCAATAGTAATGGAAAGGAGATTGGGACTCAAATCAAGGGAGTGGACCAGAAGGAAGGAAAAAATGATCAAACAGAAAAGAATGAAGAAATAAGAATTCAGAAAAATGAGGAGAAGCTTAGGAACCTCCAGGACATCTTTAAATGTTCCAACATCCGAATTATAGGGGTACCAGAAGGGGGAAAGGCACAGCCACTAGTGGAAAACTTATTTGAACAAATAATAAAGGAGCATTTCCCCAATCTGGCAAAGGAAATAGGCTTCCAGGAAATCCAGGAAGCTCAGAGAGTCCCAAAGAAGTTGGACCCAAGAAGGAACACACCAAGGCACATCATCATGTCATTAGCCAAGATTAAAATGAAGGAGAGAATCCTAGCAGCAGCAAGAGATAAGGGGACAGTCACCTACAAAGGAGTTCCCATCAGACTATCAGCTGATTTCTCAAAAGAGACCTTACAGGCAAGAAGGGGCTGGAAAGAGGTATTCCAAGTCATGAAAACCAAAGACCTACAACCAAGATTGCTCTACCCAGCAAAGTTTTCATTTAGAATGGAAGGACAGATAAAGTGCTTCTCAGATAAGACCAAATTCAAGGAGTTCATCATCACCAAGCCCTTATTATATGAAATGTTAAAGGGACTTACCTAAGAAAAAGAAGATAAAAAAGATGAACAGTGAAAGGACAGCAAACTCACAGTTAGTAACAACCACACCTAAAACAAAAGCAAACTAAGAGGACAGCTAGATCAGGAGCAGAACCATAGAAATGAAGATCACATGGAGGGTTAGCAACAGGGGAGTGGGAGGAGGAGAAGGGGGGAGAAGGTACAGAAAATAAGTAGCATAGACAGTAGATAGAAAATAGATAGGGGGGAGGGTAAGAATAGTAGGGGAAATAAAGAATCTAAAGAATTTGAGACACGTGTTCATGAACTAAAGGGGGAAATGGTGGGGGAGGGGTATGCAGGGTGGAGGGGAATGGAGGGGGGGAATAGAACAAATGTAATGGCATAATCAATAAAAAAGTTGAAAAAAAAAAAGAGACTAACAGATCAATGGAACAGAAGAGACAGGCTAGAGATAAACCCACACACGTGTGGACAGATGGTTCTGACAATGGTACAAATGTAGTGCAGTGAAGAAAGAACCTTTCTGGCAAATGGTGCATTTCCACATGTGGGGGAAAAAATAACTTTGCTCCATACTTGACAATGTACACAAAAATTAACTTGAAATTGTCCATAGGCCTAAAAAATATAAACCTTAAAGTCATAAAACTTCTAGAAAACCTTTGTGACTAGCATTAAGCAAAGATTTCTTAGGTACAACACCAAAAGCAAGTCCCATAAAAGAAAAAAACTGATAAACTGGACTGTATTAAAAAATCATAAACTTCTGCTTTTCAAAAGCTGAAACTATTAGGAAAACAAAAAGGCAAGCAACAGACTAGGAGACTGTATTTGCACGTCATATATCTGATAAGGACTTGTGTCCGAGACATATAAAGAATTCTCAAAATGCAATAATAAAGCAGCCCAATAAGAGAATGGGCAAGACTTGAATGGGCCCTTCACTAAAAGACAGATGCTTATCAAAGTGTGCTTGACACCACTGGGCAATAGGAAAATACAAATTAAGAACACGGTAAGACACTATTACCTGCCTTTATTTTTATTTTTTTTATCTTTAGAGGGGAAGGGAAGGAGAGAAGGAGAGAAATATCAATGTACGGTTGCCTCTCATGCATCCCTGCTGGGAACTGGCCTGCAATAAAGCCAGGGCTTTATTACCTACCTTTTAGAATGGCTAAAATGAAAAAGAATGACCATATAAGTGTTGGTGAGGGTATGGGGCAGCTAGATCTCTGATCCATTGCTGGTGAGAACACAAAGGGAGCCACTACAGGACACAGCTTCACCATTTCTTTTGCAGAGGTCCCCAACCTCCAGGCCATGGACCAGTACAGGTCTGTAGTCTGTTCGGAATTGGGCCACACAGCAGGAGGTGAGCTTGAATGCAATACACTTGAATCACCCAAAAGCATCCTGCCCCTCCCCAAACCAGTCCATGGAAAAATTATCTTCTACAGCCCCAAAAGGGTTGGGGACCACTTGTGTGCATGACGATGCCCCAACATACTGAGCCACCTGGCCAAGGCAGCTTCACCATTTCCTAAGCAGATAAATATATCCCTACTAGATGACCATCTATTCCATGTCCATATATTTACCCAAGAGAAACAGAAAAGTGTTCATACGAAGTCTTGCTTATAAATGTGCACAGTAGCTTTATTTGTAATAGCCAAACAATAGCCAATAACCTGCAAACAAATCCAAATCCTCATCAACAGATAAATGGAAAAATATACTGGTTAATAATGGGATACTCTTCAGCAACAACAAAAAAACCGAACAATTTATATTAAACATGAACCTTAAAGTTGGTAAGCCAAGTAAAAGAAGCACTGATCTTGATTGTGGTAATTGTTTTACAGGTATATATCAGATTTGATAGAAAGATCAATGAGGAATGGAAGAGTTAACAAATCGATTTTATAATGCAATGAAAATTTTGCTTTAATCTAGGAAAAATAAAATTTATACAAAAGTTGGGATACACTTTAAATATGTAATGTTTATTTTATAACCATTATGTTTCAAGAGGCTCTACATACAACAATAACAAAGAAGAGAGCACTGGGTCTGAGGTGAGACCAGAAGTTGTGAAACAGATGTCCAGAAGGGTGACTTCCCTGGGCAACTGTGGGCCACGCTAAGGACTCAGTGGAAGTTTGTGATCATAACTTAAAGCAACACCACTGCATACTGCTAAGTAGTTTTATTCAGCCACACTTATCTATTCACTCAGGAATAGGCACACGGTATGCAAAGAATTATATTTAAACAAGTTTGAAGCATTTGCTAAGCAACTATGAAGGAAGTAATGAAATTATCATTGGGGTGATCAGGAACAGTGAGGAGGGAAATGAGGTGCAAAGCAGGCCATAGGAGACAGAGGTCAGTGGAGGCATTCAGCCAGTGCTAGCCAAATTAGCAACAGTGCAAAGTCTTCATGAATGTCACCCTTTAAGGGGAAAAATAAACAAATATGTCATGCCAAACACTTACTTGGTGCTTACTGTGTACCTCTTGTATGTAACATAACATTTGGTGGTGAAAATGTAACACACAGAAAGGGAGGGTGCTTTCTATTCACATACCATGTCTAAATCAAGTGTATCTTTAGACACAATCACCTGAAAGACTAAGCACACTTCACCTGCATCAGCTCTGGCTAGCCAACTTCAGGGAGTCATTCCTTTCACTCAAGCCGCCCCACTCAATTATCGATGAGAATGCAGCCTACCTCTTAGGTCTGTGAGGGTTTTAGATTATGTCAGAGACAAACCTGGAGGTGAACTTTGATGTTCCATAACCTATAGGCATCTCTATACCCTCCCCATCTAGGCCCCCAAAAGAGAATTGCTCTCTTCTCCTTGTTCTTCTCTTCTTCCGAAAATAGCTTTAAACAGCCCTTAAAAAAACACAACTTCTTTTGGACTTGACTCTCGATTTTACATTACCATTCCCTGTCTGTGCTCTCACATTTTGCCCCATGGTAGATCTACTGCTTCTCTCAGTTCAATGGGACACGAGTTATAGGAAGTGCTCAGGTCTCACACTCTTCCCCCGACCAAAACACCTCATTTCTGTCCACACGGGAATAAGTTTAAAGCAGAATCAAAGAAAGTAATGACAGGCATATTGTGCAGGGAAATCTTTAACAAGCTGAATTTTTAAAAGCAACAAAAGCCCTAGCTGGTGGCTCAGGTGGTTGGAGCATTGTCCTGTATACCAAAAGGTCGTGGGTTTGACTCCTGGTTAGGGCACATGCCCAGGTCGTGGGTTCGATCCCTGGTTGGGGCATGCTCAAGAGGCAGCCAGTCAATGTTTCTTACCCACATTGATGTTTCTCTCCCCCACCCATTCCTCTCTCTAAAAAAGCAATGGAAAAAAAAAAGTCCTCCAGTGAAGATTAAAGGAAAAAAAAAAAAGCAACATAAAATAAGCCCTTAATCTAGATGGCAATGATTTCATAAAGTATCTTTACCTGTTTCACTGTTTTCAGGCAGAGATTCATATTCTGAGTGATCCAAAGGCAAAGTGTTCATAGCTGTTTGATCCGGCTCCTGTAACTCTGACAGTGCTGCATTCTCATGACTTTTGTCACCATCACCACTGACATCCAATTCTGTAATTAGGAATTTTACCCCAAAAAGAAAGGTTAAAAGAGTAACTTTCTCTTAAAACAAAACAAAAATTTATATTTTAAGTTGGTGGTGAAAGATCACATGGCTCTTAAATAGTGCTACAAACCAGGATACAAATTTTAATTAACAATTTCTTTTTTTTTAATTTAATTTAATTTTAGTTGTTCAATTACAACAATTTCTTCAAGATGGTTTAAAAGGAAAACAAAGACCAAGCCTAAAGAGCAAAGCTGCTTCTCATGGCGTTGGGCGCACCACTTACCCTCCTGGCCGTAGCTGGGGCACTGGTCAGGTGTGTCCTCCCAGGCTGCACTCACACTACCATCCGCTGAGCTACCTGCCTCCAAATGTAACACCGGCGTCCCCCATACTTTTGCATTGGGGTTTAGTTCCGAAACCTTGGCTGTTGGTACCTAAGAAAAAAATTGATATATACTTTTCTATCCAAATTCTAATTAAATGCAATTGTACTTATTCAGAGTTAAAACACATCTATGTAAGAGGATTTATGCTAAAAAGGCTGAGTCTATCTACACATACTTGGGGGATGAAATCAGGGGTAACAGTAACAAAAGTGGATGCACTCAGAACTCAATTTATCATTACAGTCTAAGTTCCTACTGTGCAAGGCTCTCTAGAGACATGTAACAGAAAAATAACTGCTGATCCAGTTATCACCTCTGCCCTAGACTACACAATGCAATTTCCAGAACTGCAAATTTAAATGGAACATAGATGGATAAAATTTGAAGATAAAGCTCACATAAGCGAAAGATGTAGAAAATGAAAGTTCCTCCATAAACAAAGGTCTGTCAAGAGGGGGGCCTAATGTGGCACCTCTAGGACCCTGCTCACTCCCAGGATCACTGGCCTCCTACTGTCCAGACACACCTGACACTTCCACTCCATTTGTCCTGAACACTCCCCCTGCTACTCACATGCCTCCTACCTTCACCTCCTCTAGGGACTGATGAGACCTTTTCCAGGGTGCCTTATCAAACCTATAACCACCCCAATTTTTCTTCTCCTGCTCAAGTCTAAGGAAAAGTTAATGTCATCTCAAGGACAGCTATTTCCCAAACTAACTTCAGTTCTGCTGCCACAATCATTCAGCAATCCTAGCCAAATTATACACCTTTCCCCAGCTACCAGAGCTGACCCCACTGTATAGGGGTCACAGCTTCTAAAGGGAGAACCAGAGTCCTGGTCCTAGGAGCCCTCAATCGGTGCCTAGCAGGAGCTCTGAGCAGGATGTAGCCTCACTGTGCAGGCCCAGAGAGGTGCACATATTACCCAATGAGTTCTCCTAGTGCGCACATGGTCAAAATAAGCAATCAAAGAAACCACATGTGAATTAACAAATTTTTTAAGATTTTTAAAATTTATTTTTAGAGAGGAGAAGGGAGGGAGAATGAGAGAGGGAAGCATCAATGTGTGGTTGCCTCTCAAGCACCCCCTACTGGGGACCTGGCCCACAATTTAGGCATGTGCCCTGACTGGGAATTGAACCAATGACTCTTTGCTTTGCAGGCTGGCTCAATCTACTGAGCCACACCAGCCAGCGCTAAATGAACAATCTTAAAAAGACAAAACAAATTTAGTCTGGCTAAGGTCATTAAAGTTTGCAGTGAAAAACAACTATTTCTGAAATTGATAGCAGAGGCTGATGTTGTTAAAACCGTGGTATCTACTTTATTCATATGTAGGAGGCAAGGACAATGAACATCATGCCCACAAAACCAGATGCCTCAGTGAGTGCCTACCTGGAACTCTTTTTTATTTTTTAGGTATTGGTGAAAGGGCAAAGAACTGGGCTCCCCCTTTCCTTTAAGCAGTCTATACTCAAGCAGCACTAAGTCTTTAATCCCCTTTCTTACATGGTGCCTACAACTTCCAGTTCATTTTGGCCTCTGCTTCTGTACAGGGTGTTTTTCTGTTTGTCATCCCCCTATGTCTCCCATAAACTCTTCCAAATGCTCAGTTAAGTGCTAGGCACAACAGGAAGCCAACAGGATGGAACAAAGCAGACACAGCCTTCATAAGCAAAGAGCAATGTAGCAGGTAGTCGCATCTAAGACACCACTACTACCTGCCTCAGCATTCACACCTTTACCATTTGCTCTTTTAAAGAACTCATTCCCCCACTCTCTTTCCTTTTCTAGCACTTGTGTATACCACTCTTTCTAATTATAACTGCTCTCTTTCCACCATGCAACAATACACACCAAGCTCCCCTAGGTTAGTACTCTTCCATCCAAGGAGCTGACTCCCCTGACCTCATGCATGTATTATACATTCTCTTAACTCCTAATACCAACCAACATAGGTCTTTTCCATTTTTAGCACTTTTTGCAACTGCCTGTACTACAACACCAATGTACATTTTGAAGTTCCCTAGTACAGATCACTTTACCCTAGAGGTGAACAATACTCTGAGAGCCTCAGGCCTGTGGGAGGCTTGTCTCCCACAGAGCTTGCACTGCTAGAACGTGCCTGTCTGTCTTTTCCACAGCCCACAAATTCTGCGATGTCCATTTGGTTCACCAATGCGTTGCTAACACCTAGCAGTTCTGAATTCAGTACATAGGTGCTTGAGAAATATGCTGAATGTTTAATAAAGTAATAATATAGAAAATTATACTTTCCACTATTTGACAACCTGTGCAAGGTTTTTGCCACATCCAAATAGAACCATATATCCTCATGTAATTGACTACTTTATAAGTAGTAGATATGCAAATCCAAATCAACTATTAGGGACTTCACAATTATTAGCAATTAATCAGTATTCAAAAGATACTCTGAGACATGACAAAGAATGAAAAGAGGGAGACTTATAATTAAGACATAATGACATGACAGCTATCACTGGAGAGTGTGCTAGGTGCCAAGATATTCTATGTATTTACCTGTATTTAATCATGACAACCCTATCAGGTAGCAGCAATCACTGTCTCCATTTCACAAATAAGAAAACCAAGGCAGAGACAGGTTAAGTAACTTGACCCCCAAAATTATGGTAGTCAGAAAACAGTGGTGTAATATTAGCCAAAAAAAAAAGAAAGAAAAGACCTATCAAGAGTTCATTAACTTTCTGTAATTCACATAAGAAATAACTTACTGAACTTATTTACTTGAAATGTGGTTATTCTCTTACAATTATATGAAATGCCAAGTGATTACTGACAACTCAAGTTTCACCTGCTTGGCCAACTAAGTCTTAGCCACCTGACTCTTATTTTTCCACTGAAAATCATGGCTAAGCAATGATCATTAGAACCAGAAATGAGGTGACCTTAAAAAGTATGTTTTGAAGCAACTTCACATAAATGATCAATGTTATTCCTTGGAGAGTACAGCATCTCTAAATCTGGCACTAAAAAATTTCTTTTACCCCCTAAAAACAATGCTCCATTAAAAAAATAACTTAGCAGTTCATAAATTTTTTTTTCTCAACAGGAGACAGAATGGTCCCGTTGACAAGTTACCAAGTAGAAATCAGAGTAACTTGTGTCAGAGGAAGGGAAAGGCAGGTGGAAAACATAAGATAGGTAAGAAAATAAGAGGAAAGAAAAACATGTACCTTTATTTCAAATTAGCTCAGATTTCCTGGATTTGCCATTAAGTAGGCTTAATAATTCAAAGCAATTCACTGGCATTAGAGTCATGCAGTCTCTGTACCTCTGGTTCTTGATTTATAAAATGGAGTAACAACTGCTATATATATAGATTACTATTTAAAAATATCAGTACAACACTATGAAAACTATAGCTCTGAAAAACAAATAACTATCCCTAAATGTAGTATGTTAAATTAGAATGCTCTTTGGGTGTGCCTCACAATGGAAAAGCTGATTCCAAACAGTCCACATGTACCTCACTTAGAGGGAGAAGAGCAGGACAGCAACAGGACCCATGTGCACTCTACATTAGTGTTCCAAACACTGAAATTAGCAGCCAATTGTTAATTATGCCCATTTATGTAAATGATTACATGCATATAATTTAAAGGCCCAGTTTTGTAGTGTTTGCCTCTATAATTATTTAAGAAACAAAACTAACTGGAACATAACTCTGGTAAAACTCCCAAATATGGGCATGAAAAAGGAAAAAAGAGAGGTTAATGGATAATTACCTAAATTATAGGATTTAATTTCTGCGTGTTTATTTCCCTATAATAGGCATTAACATTTATATTCTTTACCATTACAGTGCCTATTACCAAACATTTTTATTGCCTAATGCAACAAAATCACTAATAATAAACTACTGTTTACATAAATGAGATTTTGTTACAAGTATGCTTTTTTGGACATCATACATGTCCAAAAAAGGACTGCTTTTTAGTCTTAAAAGCAAGACTAACTTTCCACTTATTGATTTTGCATTTATTACAGAATTTCTACAAAGGTGACCAAATTATCTACCCATCACTGAATCATCTGTGAAGGTTCTTCCAAATGAGCAGAGCCTGAGCACCTTGGTCTGAAGAACTCTGCAGATGTTTCTGACAGAAAGGAGACAGGGCAAGATTCCAGAGCAAATTAAAAGTAGCAAATTTTACCTGAGTTAAACAGTTACCAAACAAAGTAGCAGAAAGCACAGATTTAATTCATGTACACACTACAAATGTAAACAACTTTAAACATCCAATGGGTCAAATGCTTGTTGTTCCAGCAAGAGGCTGGTGATGAGGAAGGACAGGACTGGGAATGTCAACCTTTACAAGTACATACATGCGAAGTCCACAAACAAAAGATGATCTGCACAAAGCTGCATCTGACCGCCAGCAGTACAGCTTTAGTGCTAACAAGAGTTGACACAAAGTCTGACTATAACATGCCAAACACTGAACTGAATTCATAGTCTCCAATACGAAAATACAACCAACAGCTTTACATAAAGATTCAAACAACTGCCTGTTGTTTAGAATAAATCTTTGTTAATTTTAAGTTAAAAGCAATAAAAAAAATTAGTGTATCACAGCACAATAATAAAAACTGATAAAAACTCATACTTACTAACTGTGCACCTCTGTTTTGCCATCCCCAAATAATACCATCTTCTGCCACTGGTAGCTGATAAGGGAGCTTTTCCATCCAAAATGAAGAGATCTCAAAGTCTTGTGGCTGACTGTGCAGGTCCCCACTAAGTATTTGTTCATCTTCTAGTGCACCGTTCACAACTGTGTTAGTCCACAGACAGCCCACTGGATATCTACAACCATCTGCCAGGCTTTCAGAAAACACCTGATTTGCCAACCCTCCTACAGGGTAATAGGAAAGTTCATTCAAAAACTGGGAGTACAGTTCCTCTGGGAAGCTCTGTAAATCCCCCTTTAAGGGATTTTCAAATATATTTATAGTGTCTTCTGAGAATGATAAAACATGGTCCTCACTACTTGGTAATACTATTTCTTTGCTATCACCTGGGTTGACAGGAACTGCCTGCAGTACTTGAGGAGGAATAGCTCTATGTCTGTCCACTTGGGCAGGATCCACAATAGCCAAGCAAGAATAACCAGCAAGAGTGTCACATAACTCCATTTCTCCAAAATTGGCCCTCGAACTTCCCACAAAAACCACTTCACTGTTTAATGTAGGTCTATTAACTGCAGCTTTGGCATTTCTTTGTGCACATGTGCTTGTCCCACATGGACTTTTGCAGTTGCTGCTGCTAGAGTCACTGTTGTCTCTCTCCCTGTAAGGTCCCTCTTCCACCTCTTCCCCTATGAGTTTTGGTTTGTGCCCTGTCACTGCACCAGTACCTAAGGCATCAGAGACTTCAGCGGATGTGCAGGAAACCTGCTCCTGTTCTGGACCTTCACCGCAGTTACAAGAGCTAGTCTCCTCTGCTCCTGACATCTGTGTACCTGAACTTGCAGATGATACAAGATGAAGATCTTCATGTCTGCAGTTATTCACTCTGCAGGTTTCATGTTTTTCTATTTGATTTGTTTCAAAATCAGGGGGTTTTGTTATACTAGAACTAACACAAGCCGATACACCCTGACTGGGCACTACTTTGCATTTTAATTTATTTGTTTCCCAGTAAAAGATTGTTTTGGAGTCTAACTTGACATTTTCTGTGTCATTTTTACTTGTCTCTCTCTGATTAGCCTTTAGTGGTTGTTTTTCACCATTTTCTAGTTTGTGAGGGCCACGTCCTAAACTCTTCACACACGGTTCATCTTCTGTTTTATGATTCAGATCTGTTTCACCCTCTTCTTCACTCAAGGTGAAGATAAATGCAGAGGACATAAAGTTACTCTGAACACATCTGGGGCCATCCGAAGTCTCATTGTTCGGGGGCATTTCCTGTGAGCTCCCGAGGTCTGAGGTGTTTGTTCTTTGACATAAGCCTTCCACGTTTGTTGTTCTCACTGCACAGGTTACATCACAGATCTTAGCATGGGCTATGCTGGCTCCAGCATCTGCACACAGATCTTCTTGACTCAAAGATCTCCTTTCAAAAACCCTGGTAACATGATCCTCATCTTGATAAGATGAACTATTTTCAGGCTGCAAAGCCAATTCTCCTTCGCTCACAAGCTGGGTGCTCCTAGTTCTTAGGTTTCGATCACCACTGTACTGCCTCTCCATCATCGCGGGCCCCAGGTGTTCAGGTCTGGGATCACCACATCTGTTAGCTGCTGCTTCTTGAAAATTAGGGTGAACAGGAAGACACTCATTTCCAAAGCTCACTGAAGTGATACAGCTTTTTGAGTTGTCTGATCTGTTAACATCTAAATTGGAACAATCACTGTCTTTCACAGATTTTATAAAGTTCTTTTCTCCTACTTTTTCAGAGCGTAAACTCTGATCTACACTAGCTTTTACAGCCCTAGATTCACCATTTTGTTCAACATTGGAAGTGTCATGAATTAGATTAACATGTGAGTCACCCACTGGACTGACTAGTGCTGAGCGACGGCTCCTTCCTTCAGGGACGGCACACACACATTCTAGTGAGTCAGTGTCTATGTTAGTATTTGATTCAGGTGTTCTGCCAACATTAAATGAGGCACCACTTTCTGTGTAATCTTTAGAGAAGCCAGTGTAAGTGTTTGCCTTTAAAGACTCAGCCTGCATGTCACCAGTGTTTACTTTACATGATGGGTCACTGTCAGTCGAAAGTTCAGAACTAGGCTTCATTTTTTCATTAGAGACTTCCTTCACTTCAGTAGGACCCTGCAGGCCATAAGAGGACAGCTTTTCCTGCAGTGCCTCTAAGTCACCCAGACCTTGGGCAACGTTATCTGAAGGCCAGGCCCCTCTGCAAACCCCCTCAAAAGTGACAGCTGAGCGGCTCTCTTCTGTTGCAGCTGCTCCACACCTGCGTGCACACGGCCTGTCATTACTGTCCAGGCTGCCAGGATCTACAACAGAGATACTGTAAAACTCGTTCTCTCTTGAATTCCAGCACTGCTTTTGACCCACACAAATGGGGTTTGCACCCTTCATCTCCCTACCAGACACACCTAAAGCATTATTCTCACTATCACAACTGATGTGAACATTTACTGCAATTTCTTTCTCTACAACGGAGCTTTTACAAGTGATGAAGTGATGGCACAGATGATTATTTACAAGGGTTCCTTCCTGAACACCCTGGTCAGAAGGCCCTGGGACATGTGAAAGACACTCGTCCTCTTCAGAGCCAACACCTGCAGAGAAACCCCGTGTGCTACTGGCAGTGTCCACACGCACACCCTTGCAGACAGTCTCACAGGCCTGCTCAACGGCAGCAGAACCGGAATTCTCGTCAGTCTCATCCAAATTTTCATACCTAGCTAGAACCTTACACATTAAAGAAGAAATAGAGTTGAACAACTGTCTCGGCCTGTGAGCCCGTTTGTGCCCAGATCTCGCAAATACCCTTGGCCACGTATCAGTCTGAGCAGCTGCCCTGCTGGCTCCGCGTTCAACATTGTACAGCTCCTCACCTTCCAACGTATCAAATAATGCAGATAAAGTATTACTTATCTTGTTCTCCGGTTCCTTCTCTTCCACAGATTTTTGTAACAGGCCAGTTTTTTCATTGTCATTGTTACCACTTAATTCTTTGCCGAAACAACAGCCCATGTTCAAAAGTTCAAACACTCACATCACAATGTCTGTCGCTGTCTAACTCCACAAGTGTGCCTCATACTAACTCTCCATGGTTTCTGATGAGATGCCAACACCCAGACACCAAAAATAGCCCCTTGCACAGCAGTCACATGTCCCCGCCACTCAAATCCAAAATCCTAATTACAACAGCTCCTGCCTAACACAATCCTACTTACTCCACGCACTAAACCCAAACAATACATGGAACCCAAAGTCTCTTAACAGCCACAAAAATTTTCATATTATTCTTCTTACTCTCATAAACTCAATTAAAAAGTAATTAAAATTATTATCCCAGCCTGAAGAAGGAAGTTCAAACCTCTGCTTTTTCTAGTGTTTCAGCATTCTCTGAACTGAATTTCATGAGATGAAAGCAGCCAAAGAAGCTTGGTTAGCATATATAGTATATAAAGGAAAACAAAAATAAAAATTTGTCTTTAAAAGTTAGAGGTACTTATAATTTTCTGCAAGAAATAACAGCTGTAGGTATTCAGAAATAAAAGTGCTAGGCACAGAATTGTAATGATGTCTGTCAGAGATGGAGGTTAAAATGTTTATGGTAAATAGAGTGTTTTCTAGGATTTACTTTATTTAAAGAAGTAAATACATTAACTTTTTAAAAGTATGTTTCTGGATGAGAGAAAAAGATGTAACAAAGTAGCAAAACATATATATATGTACACATATATATGTACACACATATATAATACTTTTAATAGTCTTTTCTATATAAAAAATATAGTGAAACATCTATTTGTTTATTTCAAATTTACATCTCAGGCTCCAACTTCTCTACTGCAGTCCAACTGGCCTCACCTGCCCACTTCATTGTTTGCTTGAATTTCTGCCAGGTAGATTTTCCCTCCACACACCTTTACTTCTCCAGTTTTTTCCATCTTAAAATAAATGAAACCATTATCCATCAAATTGCTCAACTAACCTTATTTATCTTCCCCCTACCCTAACATCTCCAACATCCAATCCACAAAGTAGTTTGGTTGAATCTACCTCCAAAATAAATTTGAACTCCATTCATTCTTAGTCTAAGTCAGCACTATTTCTCACCATCATGACATAATAGTTTTTAAATTTGGTTTCTTTGCTTCCATTCTTGACTCATTATAACCCATTTTCTTAATATAATGAGGTCAAAATAATCTTCCTATAATATCTCATACTACTCCCCACCTAAAATCCTCCAGCTTTACTCCAAATTAATTTCAACACTTAGACAATGCAAATAGTTGCCAAACAGATAACAAGAGATGGGTTTTGGTTTTGGTATTACTTTTTACTTGTTTTTGCTTTTAAATGAAATATCAGATGCCAAAGAGGAAGTATCTTATCTTGAGTTTTGGATTCTGAAGCCAGGTTGCCTAGGATCAGCCCCTGGTTCTGCCAAGTTCTAGCTGAGTAATCTTGAGGAAATTACTTAAGCATCCTCAGGTCTCAGTTCCTCTAGTTAGGATCACTTTTTGGTGCTCACTAATTGGCTATCATTATAGTTATTACTCAAAAATTTTGGGAGGGGGGAAGAGAACAGAGGGCGGTATGATCAATATCATTGATATTACCACCAAATAAATGCAAATCTGCTCCTGAATTACGCATTTATTTGGTCATTACTATGGTGATTCTCCTTTGACTCACACCACATTCAACTAGGGGAAAAACTAAATCTTAAAGACTGGTTCCTAAATCAGTCTGCTAAGCATACTCATTGCCAATCATAACTGCAGACTACTGAGCATCAATACTCAGAGCCACAACACAAAGTAAGATGTCTACACATTCAGTGTGCCATAAGTAATGCCATTTAGAAAAATGGTCTGAGTAATGCCATTAATAATAACAAGAAAAAACAAACAATGCAAATGCCCCCAAAAACAAATGGCTAAAGAAATGAAGGCTTACGGACATAAAGAAAGCACTGCAGGCCAAGTACAAGGAGATACATAAATGAACTCATGCTATGTAGGAAAAACGAGGTGAAATATATATCTACTGATTACAACTCTTTAAAAATGGGTGTACTCTTTAATAAGACTTTTATTTTCTGTAAAGATGCTTAAGTTTGTTATAATGTTTTAAAGGACACACATGTTGTGAACCAAGATGGTCTCTTATGGTACCTTCCAACTTAAGTACTTAACAATCCTATGAAAACCTAAAGTGTGTACCATACTATAAAACTGGTAAATAGTATATGAGCAATACAAAATCTGGTGTCAGAGATATGATCTGTGCAAGGAATGCCAGGGGTGCTGAGTAGCAGGGCTGGACCAAGAAATCACCACATGATATTCTGTTATGGCCATTAACTCTTAAAAATGACAAAGAAAGCACTGTAAGTAGTACTAGTTGCAAATTATTTCTCCACAGAAATATTGAATTCTCTTCTAGATAGGTCTTATTTCAACAATTTTCACCCACACAGTAATTTAAAGAAACAAAAGAAGCAAAAAAACACCCTCACAGAATCCAAAATCTGGTTTTATGTCCAGCAACAGATTTTAAAGACATGTGAATATTATGTTATACTTCAAATCAACCATGGGGAAGAAGATTTGTTCTTAAAAAAAAAGAAAGAAAAAGAAAGAAAAAAAAATTTTAAATCCCTCAATGATTCCTGTATAATTTCCCTCTTACACCACTAGAAGACTTACATTTGGGTTTTCAATTACTTAAAGTATTACAAAACTCACTTTTTGTAAAATCAATGTAAAATATAATATGCAAAAAAATCCTACACACATCATAGAATAACAACAACGATGAAATACAATAGTTTAGATGGGGGTGGTCCTCTATTTTTTTAAGTTTTCCATATTAAAAGAAGATAAACAATCTAATCTCTAATTTCTACATGAACTACTTATAATATGGAGAAATAGAGGAGATTTACTATAAATTTTGTGAGATTACTTTTAAACTTTTTACTTTTTAAAAAAAATATTTTATTTATTTATCTTTAGAGGGAAAGGAGAGAGGGAGAGAAACATCAATGTATGGTTGCCTCTAGTGCATCCCCTGCTGGGAACTGGCCTGCAACCCAGGCATGTGCCCCAACTGGGAATCAAACTGTGATCCTCTGGTTCGCAGGCCTGTGCTCAATCCACTGACCTACACCTGCCAGGTAAATTTTTTACTTTTAATAAAAGAATTACTTGTTCAATTCTGTATAAGATGTATTAAGATCATTTACAAGATTACCAACCTAAATCTGAAATTGGTCCAAATGTACCTGATATATGCAGACACAAATGGTGTAAAGCAGGATTTAAAAAACAACTGCAGTCTATTTCCACAATCTTTCATTAATCATGGCTAAAATGTGAACCACTTTTCTTATAGTACAACCTTACTATGACTTTTATGCTTTAAAAAAACATAGGATATCAATATGTAAAGCTAATCATATCTATACAATAGATTATCAGTTAACCATTAAAAACATTATAATGAATATCATGATATCAAATTAATACACAAGGCACAGTAGAACTATACACGTAACACACACAGAAGCCAGAAGAGAATCCATCTACTGTATTGACATCTACTATACCCATTTGGGTCTTCCATACCCTTTTTGGGAAACATTTTCAAGTTACTTTACAATAAATATTTGTTATAAGGAAATATCTGTGAGCCTCCACTGTGATATGAGGGAGGACCCCCAAAACATGGAATTATCTTCTGGAGGACAGGCCCCTTATAGTATAGACTTCGCCCACTAGGTGAGTGTTTTTAGAAACCCATCTGTATCAGTGTACCAGCTGGTGTTGTTTGTGAGAGGCTGTGTTCGACTTCAGTGAATTTTTTTGGAAGACTCTTTCAGTGCATTTGCCCATTTCATGATAGGTGATTTACGAGCACACCTGCCTGCCCTGCACCTGAGTGCTCAGCAGTTTTTGAGCAAAAATGGCATAACCATGTGCCCCAACATCCCCATTCATCTGATTTCGCCCTGAGTGACTTTTTTTGGTTTCCCCAATGGAGAAAGTCCTCAAAGGGAAACATTTTGCCAAGGTGGAAGAGGTGAAACAAAAAATGGCAGAAGCAATAAAAGGCACCAAAACTGACAAGTTCAAAAACCTCTTTCAAACAGTGTAAAAAAACATCTTGATAGGTGTACTACATCAAATTGAGAGTACTTTGAAGGTGACTGCAGTTTAAACATGTAAGAATACACAATTTTTCATAAATAAATTCCCGGGTTTTTTTTTGATCCCCCTCATATCTTAGGACTGAATTACCTGACTCAAAGCTGGGATGGAGCTTGTCTGAGAAGTGGTTTGAGGTATGGGACCATTCATCTGTAAAATTGAAAATATCAAACATACCATCACTACAATGTAAAGAAACATTTTCAAACCACAGTAATTGAGCAAAACAAACCCACTGAGAAAAGCACATTTTTATGTAACAAAGGAAATTCAGTGAGATATTCAGAGCAACGTAGGAGCCTTGAAATTTAAAGTATGTTGAAATTCTGACTGAACACCGTAAGTAAAATTCCTTGTAGTTTCAATGGGGAAAATTTTTTTAATTCTACTTTTCCCAAAGCCATTCAGAAACCTTAAGTATTACTACTTGAAGTGATAATATCTTACAATAAATGAAGGCAGTCAAAAAAAGCTTATATTACAATCTTAATTAATTATTTCACAACATACCAGTGCAATGGCTATGTTATGGAAGTATTTCTAAATCGCTGTGTTTTCTTGGTGATTTAAAATCTAAGGCTTTGCCCTGGCTGGACAGCTCATTTGGTTAGAGCACCATCTCAGTATACCAAGATTGTGGGTTTGATTCTGGGTAAGAGCATGTACAAGAAGCAACTGATAAATGCATAAATAAGTGGGACAGTAAATTGATATTGATGCTTCTCTTTCTCTAAAATCAATAAATGAATTTTTAAAAATCCAAAGATTTAAGTATCTAGAGCTATTAATTGCTATTCGTTTTTCCTATTTCCTAGTGCTTAAGTTGCCTCTACTAAGCTACTCATACATTTATGCAGACTATAACACCTATACTTAGGTAGTAAGACATGCCAGTGTTACTGTTTTCATTTACATATTAAATCCTGGAGCACGCACTCACCAGATGATCGCTGTCTTTCCCTTCCTGGACTCGCTGGCCCTGCGGTTCAGCCACGACCTTAGCGTCCTGATCAGAAGTCATGAGCTGTTTACTTTGTGGCTCCACTGGGAGAAGTCTAATGTTAACTGTAGGATGCTGTA